CTCACCTTGGAACTGGAGGGAATCAATCGGTTGGCAATCCCCCTACTGACCTAAGGAGTCAGTCCTACTTACACTTCACAGCGTGGAGAGGCGTCTCCTGAAGTACCCTGTAAATGCTGAGGTCTATAAAGAGGAGATGAGGAAAGGCATTGCTATAGGCCCTGTTCGGGAAGTGACTGATACTATCCCTGATCTGCTTGAATGCTAGTACATCCCTCACCAAATTGTTAGTCACAATGGAAATTTCTGCATCGTCTACAAAGCTTCAAACAGTTCCTCTTGCCAGGGGCCCCTTGGGGCTTCTCTGTTGGGCATCCTTATCCTCTTCACATTAATTGGCTGTGAGTGGGGATATCAATCATGTTCCACCAGGTCTGTCTTCTACCTGAGGACCATCCTCTACTTTGTTTCCTTCGGCGGGACCTGAAGATGGATGAGGCCCCCAAGATTCTCGAGTGGCAGGCATTACCCTTCGGCACAACCTCCAGTCCCTGATGTGCTACCTACGAACTACAACGACATGACGATTAATAAAGTTTATCTATCTAAAATAAAATCTATCTAACACTGGGTATGAGCTGGAACTGGCAGATGGACACCTTGTCATGCAAACACCGCCCTGTGATATATGAGACTCCTACTTTTAGGAATATATGTAAGGTCCTAGCTACTCAGTACGACCCTCTGGGATAGCTTCTACCTTATACGACTAGAGCAAATGTCATCATTAAACAACTGTGAAACGAGAAGAGAGGGTGAGCCGACCCCAACCTGATACCTGAGCTCCTCCGGTCCTGGAATGCATGCGAAGAGGAACTCATGGGAGCTACCCATGAGGTACATATCTTCTTGGATACATCTGAGCAGGCATATGGAGCGGTGGCTTACCCTGGACTACCGACCAGGATGGTCGGACCTACCTGTCCCTCATTATAGTGCGCTCCCGTGTCACTCCTATACAAGCTCATATCCATTTCAAGACTGGAACATTGTGGGAGTCTAGTCGCAGCACATTTGGCTAAGTTACTTGAAACAGAGTTGACCCTATGTATCAAGGCTATTACTCAGTGGATAGACTCTACCATGGTCCTACAATGTTTAAATTCTGAGTCCATTCACTACAGAGTCTCCTGAGATCCAGTAGCTGACGGATAAGTGTTCCTAGCATTATGTAATCTCTGGAGACATCCCCGATGATGACCTCAAACGGTTAGGGACTGGGAAGTTGGTCAGGTCCGGAAGTTGACTAGTTACCCTACCCCCTGAAATGGATCCGTCCAGTGGTCTGATACAGGTAGGAGGTCGTTTAAGGACAGTTGCAAGTGTTATACATCCTCTGGTCCTGGATCCTAATCATCCCGTCACTCCTCTGATCATTCACTATTATGACCACCAGTTACATCATTCTGGATCAGAACAGTTGTTTGCAGAAATAAGAAGATACTATTGGATCCTACAAGACCAAAAAGATGTCCGGCGGTTTCAGTATGACTGCCAAGAATGCCAATATTGAGGGCCCAGCCAACAATCCCTTAAATGGCAGATCTACCTTCTGCGCGCCTTCTATTCCTGTGAGGTGGAGTGTTTTGGACCCCTTCTGGTCAAAATTGGAAGATGCACAGAAAAGTGGTGGGGTATTGTCTGACCACGGGAGAGGTGCATTTAGACCTATTCTCTAGCATGACTACCGACTCATTCCTCATAGCTCTTAGAAGATTTATTGCAAGGAGAGGGACACCAGCAGAGATATGGTCGGATCGAGGTACAAACATCTATGGGGATGAAAGAGAGTTACGGGAAGCCTATGCTGCTTTGGTTCCTTACCTACTGCGTAAGCTTGCCTGCCAGAGGATCCACTTCCACTTTAATCCCCCATTGGCCCCCCCCCCCCCCAACTTTGGTGGAGTTTGGGAGATGGAGGTGATATCTGTTAAATCGTGAGATCTGTTAAATCTGTTGTACACAGTTTTGGGTTCACAGTTAGTTCCAGTGAAAGTCTTAATGACAGTCTTGCTGGAAGTAGAGGCAATCCTGAACTCAAAACCCTTGGGGTATGTATGTGTAACTTGTAGTTTATGGCCTGTGGGACAAGTCATCAAGACCCACCCAAGCCCGGATGGTCATATCAGGTCAGCTGGTGTGGAGATAAAGGGCCATGTTTATACTAGACCGGTAGTCTGCCTGGTCATCCTGCCAACCTTACCAAATTATGGACTTAATGCCCCCAACCCTGATTAGTTGAGTCACATTTCATGAAAGCAAAGATGCGGAGGGGTATCTGTCAACTAGTCTCTCCCCTGTGAAGGCCTCCTTCCCTTCCCTTTACCTCTGTACAGATAAAACGTCAAAAGGATTCCAGTTCACATGGATACGCGGATCTGACAAAAAATTCTGTATTATGAATTTTTAAGGACAGACAAGGAATTTGGTGAGGTCAATTTGTAAAGAAAGACTACACGCCTGCACACATATATTAAAATGTGCATACCTATAGACTAAACACTTAATATGCATGTGCACACCGTTAGCGTTTTCACAGATTCACGTTTTTGAAGCTTACGCAGAGATGATAACTTTTTTCAAAAATTATCAATGCTTGCACCTTGGAACCTACCGTATATACCCGAATATAAGACGACCCTGAATATAAGACGACCACCCCATTTTCCAGACTTATTTTTGGGAAAAAATAGATTTTTGTGGAAAAAATCTGGTTTTCAACAGAAAATTATTTTAAGAGCAAATTTCCGAGGCGTTGTTCCAAATGCCTGGCATCACCTGTGCCTTGTGTAGACCCGCTAGTCGGCGGAGACCGGCACATCCTATGCGCTTCCTGCTTGGGCCGTGATCACGCGGGGGCCGCACTCACCAAGGGTGGCTGCCCTGAGTGCGACGGGATGGATTTAACCACCCTGCGGGATCGTCTGCCGGTTTTCGATGACGATCCGGCTCCCGCTCTCTCTCTCCCTCTGCTCGAGCCGCGCATGAAAAAGTGCCGTTCACAGAGGATGCCAGAACGGACAGAGACAAGCGAGCAGAGACCCGCCCCCTTCTTCCCGGAGGTACTGTACATGACGAGCTGACCAAGTCATGGAAGGCGCCATATTCAGCGTGTCTGAAACCCTCTTTCTCCTCGGCGCTCAACGCCGCGGGAGAAAAAGGCTATCAATCGGTTCCTCCACTCGAATATAAGACGACTCTGAATATAAGACGACCCCCCATTTTTCAGCCTATTTTTAGGACAAAAACCTTGTCTTATATTCGGGTATATACGGTATTTCAAGGTTTCCTTTCTCGAGCCACCAGGCACTGTTGTTGTGCAAATGAGCAGGCCGGAGTGCATTAAGAGTTTTCTGTTAGAACGGTGTCGTGTAAGCGGCCCCTAAGTTAATAACTAATTATCTTTTCAACGGAAGTGAATCAATCAAAACTAACTTCAACTGGGCAATAACTTTATTCTAGAGCTGCTGTAAAGCTAAAACAATCTCTGTTACTTTAATTTCCTATTATTACTATAAAGGTGCTTTGAAATAATCTATATTGTTAAAAGCACTATATAAATGAAGGTGACTTGACTTGACTGTATTAAAGGCTCCTTCAAGAGGGACCTTTATTTTGAAACCATAGTCGTAGTAATATTCTGGTACCGAGCAGCTTAATTTGTTGAGCTGCTATCTGCTGTGTCATTGTGATTTGTTTCAGCCGCCACCTGAAAGGATGTTAATTCCAGTTTGTTCGTGGTGATTGCTACAGATGTAACATCAAAGTGTTAGTCATTGACCTCAAAGTAGTCACTGACCATTTGTATTATATTTGGGTTAACAGTGTTCCAAAGCGATCATTTTGTTTTTATTCAGATCAGTAATATTATTTAACATGTGATTACTCATTCTTTATTAAGATGCAGATCAATTTGACAGGTTCTTGGTGTGATGTTAATCTGTATTCGGTTATAATACCGAACGAGTGATTTACGTTATGTTCGGTTGAATGCTGCTCATTTACGCCACAATTATATCCATATATGGGCATTGTATTTTAGTAATGGCAACTTATCGCTTATGGCATGTATTTTTCTGTGAAATACCTTGTTTCTGTTTATTAAACTATATGTTTATGTATGGAAACATCACTGATGTGAATTGGGGATACTTCTGTTGTATTATGTAACAGTAAATGCTTATTATTGTTTATATACAGTATATTTAGTTTATTCATTATCTTTATTGTACTTATTATTATTCAGACTATGTACATCTTTGAATATACATCTGTGGCCCATCCCTCTGCCTCCAATACACAGTGTTAAGCAGAATATTCTACCTGTCCATTACCTAATCAGAACTTAACATTCCAAAGCCTCTCTAACAATACTGTATACTGTAAGTCATATTTACATTTCTGATGTTGTCAATATGTTGATATTGTGCATGTTAACTTCTATCCAAACATACAAAAATGCAGGGCTCTCAAGTTTTGAAGACAGGTAAGAGTGACACCTCCTTTACAGTCTATGAGTGACACCCAGCCGACGACGGGGGTGGGGGGGTTGGATACATTTTTGTCATTGGTTGTTGCGTTAAATCTTACCCAGATACAATAGTGCTATTTTCTGATTGGCTATTGTGTAGCTCGACGAACAACACCAGAGGAAACGCGCTTGATTCATGCCGGTTCCACAGTGAGAGCGGCGCGGCCAGAGTTTTGGGCGCTGCGGCATATTAAATATATTACAAATAGTTTTTCAGCGTAAGAAATACAATGTGTGGTAGGAGAGCGTGACAAAAGACCGAAATGAGTGACTGTCACGCTCAATGCGGGACACTTGAGAGCCCTGAAAATGCATGTATGTCGAAGCACACTTTACATAACAACATATAAGTGAATGTGTGCTTATGTGTATGTGTGCATGTGCGTGTGCGTGTGTGTGTGTGTGTGTGTGTTTGTGAGTGTGTATGTAGTCTGTATGTGCATATGTGAGATTAGTGTGTGTGTCAGACCTTCCATAGTATTTGTCAGAATGCTGGCCACACTCAGAGCTCTTTTTCTGGCTACTGTTTCATCCAGATAATCAGATGGATGGTGTGATCCTGAACGTTTTTTACGTGCCTCAGACTCAGTGGTCGTGCCCTAGAAAGAAAGAAAAACACCATGAGGATTGAGCATAATATTGTTCACATATATGTAGTTTCATTATGGGTCACATGTTTATGTTTGTGTATTTCAGTTGCTCCACCTCTGGTAATAAACGTCCGATTGGTGATGTTGGTACAGATGTCCCGCCCACCAGTGAGACCACTCCATTGCAATCAACTGTACAGTGCATTTTCCCATTGGCTGGTAGCATAATCCTGGGGGCAAGACTGCAGTGACTGACAGTGGAACTTCGTCTCTCAACACAGCGAGGTACGAAGAGCGATCCGCGGCGACTGTCACTATCCTCAAACGTGCTGTGCTCATCGTCCGCAAAATCATTCTCTGAGCCAAAGTCTCGTGCTCTACCACGAAAACTGAAAAGACTTGCACGACTGTTCCTCCTCGGAGAGAAGAGAGATCCACGAATGCTCAGAAGAGACTGAAAAAGAGATCCAACAAAAAGAGATTAGCAATTAACTGATAAAGTTTTTTTTTACAAATGATTATTTATGTGTCTGATAATAATGAATTACTCATCACTAATCTCTGAAGGTGAATGGCTTGCTTCTTTCCATTTCTAATATTGCATTAAAAAATATTAACATTGAAATAATTTATAATTCAAAATTATATACAAAATATTTTTTTTTTTAAAGGGACAAACCCTTCGATATATCCCACCCAAAACTCTTGTTTCAGTAGAAACAGGAGTTTCTACTGAAAGTAAGTAGACATAAGAAGTTTTGGAAATAATTAAACATAAGAACAAAAATTGCTCTAAAATCTACTATCGTTGTACCAAATTCCCTGTAGATTTGGTTGCATTTGTATCATCACCTGGTGCATTTATGCAATATGTAAAAATGTATTAATTTTGTTTCTTAAGTTTCTTTTTGTTATAATGTAATATGTCATATTCCATAGTAACTGCATTTTATTGTATATTTTCATTGTGAAAAATGGTGTTGCAGATGTATGTTTTCCCTTATATAGTAGATTCTGGTGGATTGCATTTGTTCAGACTTGTTAGAATTAATTGAAATTATATCTCAACCCCATTTGTATCAACTTTAATTCATATCTGGATCATTTTTGAAGCATCTGTGTAATGCATCTGTGCCACCTTTAGGTCACATCTGAGCCGTGTAATTCTCTGTGTACAAGTGCAACATTTCTGAACATTTTGATCAGCTAATATAAAGAAATTAACAATTTTCTGTCTCAGACTGTCCCACTTCTTGCCTGAATGCTGTAGCCGATTAGCACTCTACCCACCTAAACTCAGTAACTTGAAAAGCTGAGAATTATCCGAAGGACACAGTAACGTTTATCAAACCATATTTTCCACAATGCCACAAAAAAGTGGAAGTCACCTGATTTGGAGTGGAACATTTCTTCTCATATGAGAGTCGGTTGGCATCTATGGATAAGCGAAATCCAGACCGTCTGATACTGTCCTCTGAGGCGGACTTATGGAACTTCTCCTGATCGGCTTTCTCTTCTTCTTCCCTTTGTTTTCTTTTCTTCCTCCTGTTCCTTCGCTCTTTAGCACTCTTGGAGCTGAGTCTGGACCCCCCAGAGGAGCTTTCCTCTGACAAGCCCCCCCTCCCGCCGCTGTACTCCCCACTCTCTGTTGCTGCTGCCGCGGCAACCTGCCAGCCAATTACAGCACAAGAACCGTTGTTAGGGGCAACCAGAGGTAGACTAAGTTCAAGCGTACATACCAAAAGCAGAGACAAGAGATGGATAAACATTGGAGAAGGAGGGAAGATCGCTCAGATTAAATTACAGGTACAGTATTAGACGCATTGTTGACCTTGCTGCTTTATTCATTTTTCACTAATCCTTACCACTTCATTATGTTTGTAACTTTCTATCTATCTATCTATCTATCTATCTATCTATCTATCTATCTATCTATCTATCTATCTATCTATCTATCTATCTATCTATCTATCTATCTATCTATCTATCTATCTATCCATCCATCCATCAATCCATCCATCCATCCATCCGCCACCATAGAGAACACATAGTCGCCATTTTGGAGTAAATCTTGCTCTTTTTGGTCTCTCTCTCTCTTTCTGTCTTCCTCTTGTTTCTCTCTTTTTCATGCTTACTAGGGGAAAGGACACTCCCTCACTCTCTCCCATTATCTGTCGGTTTCCATGGCGACAGGACAGTGTTAGCCGCAGTGAGTGTGGTGCTGAGAAACTTCAGAGATGACGAAGGCATAGTATAAGATCAAAGATACTAGTATAAAATAATGATCAAAACAAAAATAATGAGAAGTTGAACAAATAATAACTGTAAATCAATGTCTGTCTGTTGAAGTGAACATATGTTTGTGCATTCTAACATGCTAATATGAGTTTGCGTGTGTTTGTTTGCTACCTGTGCCTCTTCTTGTTGTCTCTTTAGCTGTTCCAGCATGGCTTGAAACTCTTCTTCTTTCTGTTGGGCCTCTTCTATGGTGGCCTGGTTCTGCTCATCATATGCCATGGCCACCACAGCCAGGATGAGATTCACCAGATAAAAGGAGCCCAGAAAGATCACAAGAACAAAGAAGATCATATAGGGCTTTCCAGCTGCACGCAGGGTCTGTGAGAGACAGAACACACGTATACAAAATTATTGCTGTGCTGCTGGAGATTCAAAAAACAATGGTTTGGTATAATGCTTATATATATATAAAAACATGGCCTAGACTATATAGAAGGATGCTGGGTGTCTTTTCAAGCCTACACTAGGACATTGAGACAAGGTGAGCAGTGATGGGATGTCTAAGTTGTACCTGCTGGTAGAGGTTTTCCCAGAAGTCTTGTGTCATGAGTCGGAAGAGTGAGAGGAAGGCCCAGCTGAACGTGTCAAAGCTTGTGTAGCCGTAGTCAGGATTACGCCCTGCTTTTATACATTTGAAGCCCTCTGGGCACTGCCTGTAATCCCCACCAATTAGAAAAAGTTGTTCAGTATATTCAGTGAATAAGAGTAAGCAATTTATCCCAAAAAAGCAGAACAGTGGCCTCAGAAAACTGGTCCTAAGTAGTTCTAAAATAATTGAGTCATACTAACAATTTAAAATGCTAAAAAAATAAATAAAAATAAATAAAGATGTCCACCTTAAACAGACATCATATTTTGGAGTTTATTTTTATTACAACAGAAGTACCAGAGGTACATGATAGCTTATCTTCGAATATTTTCTAGGAGTCAAAAAGGCTTAGAACCACTGCATTATATACGCTTAACCAATTAAAAAGGGAGATATGTTAGATTATTAAGAAACCCTGCAAAACTTTTCTTTGTTACAAAAATCTTATCTATATTCTAATAACTATAAGGACATGTTTTGTTTTAATTTGAACTAGCATGTAAACATTTATTTACCCTGCATCGCTTGAGTTTCCACATAGCAAAGCATCTCTGCGGCCTGGGAGGTGATAATAATTTTCTAAAAGGGAAACAAGCATAAGATAAATGTCAAGATAAGATAGGCAGAACAAAGATGCACAGTATATGTTTCTAGCCCCGAATCATGTAGCTTGAAGGAAGTGTCCAAATGAAAGCCAGCCTTTAAATCACACTTGCTGCTGGCAACATTCATCCACACACACACAACCATAAAAGTGCTTTAAGCACTAGATGACTCATTTTTCTTGGGCCAGTGGAGCACACCTTACATCCGCAAGAACATGGAGTGTCAACAAGTATCTCAATAACACACACACATAGGAGAGAAAAAGCACACACATTCTTCACTTACTCTCATCAGTAATGTACTCTGTCCAGTTAAAGGTGGAGTTGTGCAGCTCTAAGCCGATACTATAGTTCAGCGTGGCAGTGAGGTTTTCAGTGACATTGGCCTCCGGCATCTTCACACACTTCTGCCGCAGGTTTCCCATGAAGAGCTGCAGTCCGATCAGAGCAAACACACTCAGACAGAACACCGTCAGGATCATCACGTCTGACAGCTTCTTCACAGACTGGATCAGAGCTCCGACGATGGTCTTCAGCCCTGAGGAACACGCAACGGTGGTCACAAACACTGCGGACGTGCACAACAACTCAAACACAGTGTGAGTATGCCTATGTTACAACTACATAGATATGAAAAAGATCTTATGGTAACACTTTATAATAAGGTCTAATCTGTTAAATAGCATAATAGCTACTGTACATTAAATAACATTTACAACATTTATTAATCTAAGATAATATAAATTTTTACATTTACTAGTACATTTATGCCATTTTTGTGTAAATTCAGATTATTTATCACAAACATGAATAACAATAAACAATAGGGTATTTATACTGTAAATTACCATAAATATAAATACTGTAAAATATTGTTCATTGTTAGTTCATAATGCCTAATGCATTATAATGTCAACAAATTGTACCTTATTGTTAAAGTGTTACTGTTTCTGTCATCCTTATATATATATATATATATATATATATATTGTTTTTTTGTTTTTTTTTTACAGGAATGGTTCACCCAGAAACCCATTATTTATTCAGCCTCATGTTATTCCAAACCTGTGTGCTGTTATTTTTCCTTCAAAGCACAAAAAGGACATTTAAAAGATTCTTCACACAGCTCTATTCCAGTGACAGTTCATAGCAACCACAGCTGTCAATATCCAAAAAAGTACGCCATAAAAGTGTCCTATATTTTTGGTCCACTGCATTTTAAGCTGTCTGAAGTCATCTGATAGCTTTGTGTGACGAAAAAACTAAATTCAACTGAAAATCTCTGTTGATGTGTCAACATCAGATTTGGTGTCATCTAGAAAATCTTCTGTAGCGTACCTTTAAATTAAGACTCAAATTCTGATATGTTCTTCACGCACGCTATCTTTAAAAATAGCATACAAGTTTGGTTTGGAATAAGGTATGGAGGCTGAATGGGCGGGGGGGAGGTGACAGAATTTTCATGTTTGGCTGAACTTTTCCTTGAAAATCTGGCAGTATACAACATTAAGTATAATTTTGACATTACAGTTACTTTAATCTTTTCTTTGGACAATTATAACAATACAAATTTAGTAAAACATTCTGCTTTTGATATTGTAAATTAGTAAAAAAAAAAAAAAAGAAAGCAATCAGAAGCTTTTGGTGATTAAAACATGGTGGTATTAACTATTAGCTAGTTGAATAAATGTTTGTGAGATTGCGTATTATCAACATTTAAGCATGCAGTGTAGGACAGTGAGTGAAAGTGTAGCATGTGCGTGTGTGCATGTCTGTGCTTCACACACACACACACACACACACACAGCACTGGACATAGCGAACACGGCAGACGATGCGCATGCACATAGAACTCAAACAGCAGACACAGGAGAAGAGAAGAGTAAAGGGTCTCAAGTTCTCTATCTCAGACTATATAGGCTTCAGCAATGTCTCATGCAAAAAACAAATAAAAAAAAACAACACAACTCAAAAAATGCCCAGTTGTCTATTTCCCAAGGCATGATGGGAGACCTTTCCCAAGGCATGATGGTCTTTGGGAAATAACAGAGCAGAGCCCGGCAAAAGGGATATAAGGAAAACTACAGAATGTGTTTTTAAAAGCCTGGAATCCCGTTTTTACACCCGAGCGGATTCCTGCTTTCTCTGACCGCTTGGAGCGACAGAATGAGAGAGAGAGGCCAGCGGAGGAGGGGATGGAGTGAGCGAGAGCTCAGATGAAGAGAGAGGCAGCCTGTGAGCTAGCCCTCACCTGGAATCACTGATATAGTTTTGAGTGCTCGTAAAACCCTGAAGGTTCTCAGTGCTGAGACATTGCCCAGATCCACAAATTCTGTTACATATCTGTAGGGAGGGGGAGGGAGGAGGGAGAGGGGGTCACACGCGCACGCACGCACAAACACACACACGCACACATGTTAGGACAGGACAGGGCAGCAGAGGGAAACGTCACACAGAGACACACACCTGACTGACAACCGTGTTTACGCGCACACGCATGCGCACGTCTATACACACACACACGCACACATACATCCCTTACCTGGGATGACTGAGATAGTTTTCAAAGCTCTGAGCACTCTGAAAGTGCGGAGAGCTGACACATTGCCTAGGTTTACAAACTCAGTTACATACCTGTAGAATCAAATAGAGAGTTACCACAAGCGCACACACGCACGCCGACACACCAGCTCAAACTCACACAACTGCAACCGACATGGATTCACCAGCTTTCCTTCATTAAAGCTATCCGAGTAAACTCTCATTAACAGTTCAGGGAAAACAGTGGACGTTCTCATTTCTCTTATGTTTTTATGTTTCAGTAATAATTGTTAAAAGATCACGATCTTGATTCAAACATCCACGCGATCTAATTTCGAAATGATAACAATTCGTCTAGAAATTACGATCACAACGGAACATTCAAATCTGATTATCACATTCAAATTCAAATGATCACAGAATTCAAATTATCACAAAATTCGAATTATCACAGAATAAAAAGTTGATCACCTTTTGAAAGTAACTTGCTGCTTCAAATAAAGATAATATAAATTACAGTTACACCAGTAGGTGGCAACAAATGACTGTTAAAAAATTGATTTGTCATTGAATCATTCATTCAAGAGATTTGTTCAAAAAATGCTGATTCATCCAGTAATTAAACAAGTGAAGAGTCATTGAATCATTCATTCAAAATAATTTTTTTAAAACAATAAATAATTCATTCAAATTAATTTGCTTATAACTTAGATATTTTTTAAATAGAGTGCAGCGATTAACATTTTGTCAGAACCTCTGGTAAATTACTTGATATTTTGTTTGGTTGTCGATTCAAAATCATGGCTGAATCGTGATCTCTATTTTAATTAGATTTCCAATTTATCCAGAATCGTGCAGCTCTGATACAAAATAATATGCATCAGCTGTCCTCAGAAATACTCACGCCATCATAATGACACTGAAATCCAGCCAGTTCCAGGGGTCTCGCAGGAAAGTGAACTTCCCCACGCAGAAGCCCCGTGCCAGGATCTTAATCAGGGACTCGAAGGTGTAGATCCCTGTGAACGTGTACCTGAATGCACAAAAACAAAACTTCACCAACATAGCTCCAAAAAAAGTAAGAACTACAGTATGAAATTAAAACAATTAAATGTTAAAGACCCCATGTAATGATTTGTCAAATGCTATTTTATTTTCTGTGTTGACAAATTTCCATTGGGCCAAGAAATACTGATAAAGATTTTTACTACTCTTAGAACTTTTTTCATGAAACAAAAAAGAGAAATGTCTAAAGGCCAATTCACACTGCACCGACAGATGCCAGCCAGATTACAGTATGTCATTTCTCAGACGTTTCAAGACCCGACAAACGCAGAATTAACGTGTTCAGTCAAAAGTGCTGACCAACGCCGACACGGGTAACATACAGATCTGACAAAACCCGACAAAGTCTCTGTTGCCGTCTGTTGGTTCAGTCTGAATTTGCCTTAAAGGGATAGTTCACCCAAAAATGTCAAATTTGTCATAATTTACTTACCCTCAAATTGAGGGTAAGTAATGACAAAATAATTTTTTTTGGGTGAACTATCCCTTTAAGAAGAGAATTAAGAACATTAAAAACATAAGGGTTCATGCACACAAAACACATTTTTGCGGTTAAAAGCGAGAAACACAGGTCAGTGGGGAAAAAAATGCAAGGAAAAATGCATGTTTTTTAAAAGATGAACTTTTAATTTTAACCTGAGCTGCGCGTTTAGAATGGTGAATTTAGAATGCGTTAACCTTGGTTCTCCTCATTTATAATTTTCATAATTTAAAACATTAAGCAATCTACTTATCTAATCCAGTTATATTTTCAGAGTTTTATAGTGCAATGAAACTTTATTGCTGATTTTAATGATGTTTTAGAAGACAAGAATCTTGAACATTTAAGAAACTGTTTTGTAATATTGTAGCATGTATTACTGTAATATTGTTGCACACTGTCAGGGTTTATTTTGTTGCTGATTGCACATTATCTATTACATAACCCATAAAAAAAGGCAAGTTACAGCACAGTGTATATTCACCATATGCTATGGAGTCTATATTCCTGTATTTGCATAATATATCGCAACTGCATGGGGATGAAAACAAAAATAATCTTTATTAAAAATTGATGCACACATTAATGGATAATAAATCAGAAATCCAAATTTGGTAGCATGATTTTTCTTAATTTAACATTTGTTTCCTCAATCTCGCATTCTTCGCGTTTTGTTGTAGCAGCGATACGATGTAACAATACACATAAATTATTATTACATTCCGTAATCAACTTTCATTATCAGATGGATGTTTGATTTAATGAGTATAACTCAAAAACTGGTTAAGTGAAAAATTTTACCATGAGATTCGTTCGAAAAATTCAACTCACTGACTCAATGATCTTGTCACAGCAGTTCTTGAGTCAACAACTCACTAGAGAAGAAGATTACCAGTGAATAATGACTTTATTTTATTTTTCTATTTTCAGTCACTTTCAGTCACAAGTTATTGTATGGCTTTAGAAAACTTGGAATATATATTATATTTCAAGTCTTTAGAAAACTTAAAAAGTTTTCTTTTCCATTGTTAGTCAGAAACAGCTGGTATTTAATATATATATAAATTAGGGGGATATGACACATCCTTCAGATCATTTTATTGAACAAATATCTGCCCATACAAGTGCATAGAAGAGCATCAATATGTTTAGTTGATTGCTCCAGAATACTGATAATGTTGTCGACATTTAGGAGTACACTAGGGCAGAGAAGGTCCAAATGCTAACATAAATGGACAAAAATCCACAAAACTACCATTTTGATCTATTGGGGTTCTTAACAAATGTTAATCAGGTTAGGCTGTAAAACTTTCTTAAATCTATGCACAAGATGTGACTTACTCTACGTTCTTGGCCCAGTCCGGGGGATTGCTGAGGGTCATGAAGGCGCAGTTGGTCAAGATTGTGCACATGATCACAAAACTGAACAGCGTAAGCAGAGGTCAAGGAATATACACAAAGAAAACACACACAAATACAACCAACCAACCAAATCTCAGCCTCAAATGACATAGCCACAAGGTTTAATGCCTATGGGAAAAAACGAATCACTGGATTTGCCAAAGTTTGCCAAATATTTGAAAGATATCAAAAGTTATGTTCGAGGCACTTAGTAGTAAACAAAATAAATGTACAGAAGCAGAACTCTCTATTCTGCGGTATGTACATATCACTCAAAAGGTTTCAGTTTTTACAAAATTCATACTTCCGTTCGGCAAGGATGCATTAAATTCAGCTAAAGTGACAGTAAATACTTTGAAATACTTTTAAATTGTCACAAAATACATCAATTGTTTGATCTATTAATCAAAGAATCTTTGGGGAAAAATTGTATCAGTTTCCAAAGAAATTTTAAGCAGCTGTTTTCAACATTGATAATAATAAGAATTGTTTCTTGAGCAGTAAATCAGCATATTATAATAATTTCTGAAGGATCATGTGACACTGAAGACTGGAGTAATGATGCTGAAAATTCAGCTTTGCCAACACATGAATAAATTACATTGTAATGTATATTAAAAAATAAAACTGTTATTTTAAATTGTAAAAATATTTCACGAAATTACTGTTTTTACAGTTTTTTTTATTTAAAAATCGAATAAATGCAGTCTATTCTAATAAATGAGAATAAGAGACATTTTTAAAAAAACATAAAATTTCACTGAGCCCAAACTTTTAAACTGTATAGGTAAAAACAAAACAAATTTAGCTTGTTCCCTTTACATGTTGGTCAGATTGTCAGATGTTGGTCCCTTCTAAGCGAGATGTCACAATAAAAACTCTGAGTCACGTGTAGACCGTTTTGGTTTTGTTTTCTGTCACATACTGTGGCTGTTATGAATGCACGAAGACAAAAGAATAAGAATAAAAAATAAACAGTCTTTTAATAAATTTCACAAGAAAACCCAGGAGCAAGAATCCACAACCACGTTACACACTGACGAGACCAGACGATGGAACACAGTAAACTGAGGGCTTAAATACACAGGGGATGATTAACTGAAACAGAACAGGTGTTACTGTAACTAATTAAGAACCATGGAAATGAACTCGCAAATCAGACAGGCAAAACAGGAACAAAACACAGAGAACACGAAACCAAAACAGCCTACACGTGACAGTCTGGCTTTACAAGACTTAAGCCCTGTTCACACCAGGAACAATAATTATAAAGATAACCATAAAGAAAAAGTTCTAAAAATCTTTCTAAATATAAAAGAATACCAGAGTCCACACCACAACTATAATGATAAAGGCAAAGAAAAACGATAATATTTATTTTCAGAATGATTTTTTTCCAGCTGACAATTGTGCCAATCAGAATTCACCAGACACCAGAGCTCGAGCATGTAAAGCAGCAGACAACATATCTGTAATGTGTGTTTAGAATAAACGAAATGATCTCATCCGCTGATGTGGAAGCTAATGCACGGTAGTTGTCATAGTTATCTATAACCTGTTTAGATGCTTACATACATCCATTCAGCTAAAAAAGGATATGAATGCACCAGGACCTTGATGGAGATTCTCCTCAATGGATTGAAAGGGCTCAAAATATACAAGGCCGGCGTAGCATTAAAGCGGAATATAGCCTTCCCACGATTCAATACTATAAAGGTCTGAAGCAGAGAAAAACGGATTGTGGTTACAGTGCACATTCTGTGACAATCTCTTTTCAAATCTGTTATATAACTACAGAGAATGACTGTTCTGACACCAGACTCAAGTCCTGTTGACAATCTAAATGTAAATAACAAGCAACCAAAAGCTATTTTAAAAAAATCTTCCTTCACATACTTTTTGGTTGCTGTAGTAGTTGTCCAGGTCCTCCAGCGGGACGGACACCATTTTGGGTGGAATGTCTCCGTAGATAAAGGGCAGGGATTTCCCCGCCTCCAAATCGCTGTTGGGTTTGGGCCCGTTTTCGTCATCATCATCAGGCCGCCTCTCGACTTTGGGCCGTTGGGCCGCCTCCTCTGCGATGCGGCGCTCGATAGCAGCGAGAGACTCGGGCACGAAGGGCCGGAAGCTGTCAGGTCCGGGTGGAACGAGCAGCTGAGCAGCCATATTGACATCCTGCTCTGGTAGCTGCACCAGCTAATCTCCGGTCACTCTGGGAGCTGAAGGAAGGAAATCACACGTTCAATACACAGTTTCTGCGAGAGGAGATTGATCATTCCAATGAGTCAGGTTAAAATATGAATATGAATCATCCCTGTGGCAGGTTAAAATATGAAATTAACCAACGTCAATTTATTTACATAACAATCAGCATCACACTGGAGACTCGAAAGAAGATTTCAGAATTATTACCAATAAAGAGGCCGTTAATATTCAAGCAGTGACATTAGATGCAGCTTGCGTGTGTGTGTGTGCGTGCGTGTGCGTGCATTTACAGAATTGGATGGTTGTACCAGCTCTGCATGTTACAGTAGAGCAGCAATGCCTGCGGGTCACCAGGCATAAATAGCCGGTCTGGCGTTCTGCCCTGAGTGCTGTGGCCAGACCTGTGAGCGCCAAACTGGGCATGTACTCAGATCAAATCAGCTACAGTCCCAGGGGCTTCATGACCCCTATGAATCCCCCCTACCCATCAAGATTCACTGGCTCAGAGAATAGTGACATATATGTAAGATATGGGGGATAAAAAGAAGAAAGAGGTATAGAGACGGAGAAAGCAAGAGGGAGAGAAAGAGAGATGACTACTAATCACAAGTTTGGGGTCAGTAAAAAAAAAATTTTTTTAAATAAATGATCTAAGGATTCTAAGTAACAACCTATGCGACCATACATTTATGTTGTGTATTATTTTCTTTGTTTTTATATAGTTGAATTATACCATTTATCATTTAATCAATTATTCATATTATTATCATTTGATTTACATTTATAATTTAATCATTTTATTATTATTATTTATAATTTTAAGTTTTTATATTTCTTTTCTATTGTTGTTTAATCTTATGATTGTGTGGATTTTTTTCTTCACGAGGATATAAGAGAATCTCTCCCGTTTCAAGGTTTTTAACATCATTATTCAATAAACTGCTATTTTTATTGCTATTTTATTATCATCACTTTGTCTCCTGCTTCAGCTCTTCTCTGGCTTTCTCAGTCAAACTCTTTGGGGTACCAGGGTATCAAAGTTTTGGGGTCCCAGACAAGACTTTCTGTTAACAGGTCTTTTACTGGTTTTGGACACCAGACAAAACGGAAATCTTTTGACCAGATCTCGGCGTCCGTGGTCGGATTTGACATTTCTGACGTAGAGAATCCATCCAATCTAACAAAAGCGAATTAAGCAAGAACGCATTAAATTTATCAAAAGTGACAGTAATGACTGTGACAGTTCTTTTGCTGAATCCTGACAATTTCAGCTTTGCCACCACAGGAATAAGTTACATATTCAAATATATTAAAACAGTTATTTTAAATTGTAATACTATTTCAGAAAATTACTCTTTTTGCTGTATTTTTGATCAAATAAATGCGGCCTTTGTGAGCATAAGAGACTTCTTCCAAAAACATTTTAAAAGTCTTACTGACCCCAAACTTTTGAATGATAGAGCACATAATAATATCGCTAGTGAAAGAACCCACATTTTATTACACGGCTATCTGAAGTTATTGATTCTGACTGGTCAGTCACAGAATTCCTCGGTCAAATATTGTTTTATAATGACCACTAAACTGTACTGTATAATTTACCGACTGTATGAATTGAATTTCCTACACTGCATAGTTTAAATTTCCTTTTTTTCCCCTTACATTTTAAGTACATTTATTAACTGTGTAACACACATGTTACATAACTCACATTGGAATCCAAAATGCATCTGGCTGTCTAAAATGGATTATGAAATTCATAATGCCCCCCAACAATTTAGAATTATTCATCTTTTTTTTTGTTATTGGAAATGGTGGATTTAAGACAACTCTGAAAAATGAAGCCTAGATTCTTGTTAAAGTTTCAAAACCATGTTAAAGATGCCATAACTGCATCCCCATTTGCATCTATACTTTTCTAAATCTAAATGCACAGGCTACATTCTTCCTTTTTTTAGACAATACCATTTTAGGAGTTTTAGCAGTGAATAATTTCAGTTGACAGTAAAAAAAAAACATATATAAAACATTAATTGTTTTATTTAATATGCAATAGTAGTTTCTAGAATTTTCTAGAACTATGATTTCTTTCACACAAAAAACAGTTGACACTGCTCCAAACCACCCACAATGCAAACCTCTGAGTCCTCATCCAACTAGAAAGGCATAGTAGTAGTAGTTGCAATAAATACATTTGACCAAGCAAACTAAAAAATCAGAAGCACTAAAAATCTTTTAGCTCACCAGATCATGTAGATCATGCACTTTTAATGAATGAAGATGAAAACAGAGATAAAATGCATGACATTTATTATACTGTGACCAAATAAAATATGCTATGCCTTCTTCCCTTTTGCACAAATAATACCACACTAAAAAGCAAGGTGAAAAAACTGTTTGAGAAATTTGAGAACAAACATCATTATACAAATCTGCTTGAAAATGACATGCCTGGAATATGAAGCATACCTCAAATAAAGCAATACTTACGAACGAAGGTATACTAATAAAATCAGTAAAAGCATAGATTTAGTCTCTTGCTGCAAGTTTGAGTTGTCTGCATTTGAAAGGTGCTATTTTTCTGTGCCGAACTCCCGCTGACAATGTTTTCTAGTCAAAACAATATTCCAGGGTGCCCTCGCCTACTCTGGGCCAGATTTCAGTTTGCAACTGTGACTAATATTCGTCAAGCAATTGTTTGCGTGCGTGAGTGAGCACTGTGAGTTGTCTCACTCTCTCCCTACCGTCACCCAGCCAGTTCAGCCCGTTCCCTCTGAGGACAAAGTAAAAAACAACTCCCTCACCCATGTGTCCACCCACCCAAGCACTCATCCAATGATCCACTTATTTAACCCCCCTCCAAAAATGAGCCAACTCTCTGGAGTGCCATTACTCCCAGCCCTGTCTCCAGGGTCAAAGCAAACCTCAGAGAGGAGATTGGCACAATTTAAGTATACAGTAGGCACTCCTGGATAAACTACTACTACTCACGATTTTGATGAGCTGTCAAAAAACAAACACTGAGAAATTTAGGAAGCTCCTCTGGTGGTATCATAATAAAGTTACATGTTGCATCATAATAAAGAAACATGGGTGACTACCAATGAACATCAGTTTAAAATATGTCACCTCAGTGGATCCTGCATGATATACTCCAGTTAAGATACTGAAAGATCTTGACAGAATGTCACGGACAAGGTGGATTAAAATATTCCAGGCCAACTCTGTGTGTCAGAATTTCCCCTCAAACCATGACAGTCATGCATACATGTTTAGACACTGTATGTATTATAAAGACTGTATGTATGATTTCTGACAGATGGGGGGGAAAGTGACCTTCCACACTACCTCACACTAAACTCAAACAAAACACCAACACGTGACATGTCCTAACGAAGCCGTTAGTGCATACTAGGCTGTGTTGCTGATTTCTAGTCAAGCCTGTGCCACTTTTTCCTCAACTGTGCGTTAAAATGGTTCTGCTTCGTCGTGGATAATAGGGATTCGCCACAGCTGCTCTCCATGGTGCTGAAACACAGGTGCGCGCGCTTCCGCCTTGGGCTCAGTTCAGGTCATCCGCCACGCGCTCCCTCCACCGCCGTCATATTCGCGTGCTATTCTTAATGACAGTTTGACTCTTACGTATTGAACACGGGTGATTCGGGGGTTTAATAATAGCACATTTCCTCCGGCATTATACAAGCCATTAAAATGCAAATTAAAAATTGAAAAGATCGAAAACTCATTTCTAAGAGTTTTCGGTCTGTTTTAATGAATGGGTTGTTCGTTTGGAATTCACTGATTGATACAAAATAAATGTCTAAAAAATGCAAACCGCAAGAAACGTTCAAAATGGACTGGCATTCATTTTAGAATTTTCGTATAGCTTATGTGTTTCAACAAGTCAAACTGTGTACCTCTCAAGAACCACAATAAACAAAGGTTTTAATCGAAAGTTGATGTACATTTTTGTCCTGAATGGTGACAGAAGCTCAAGGTGAGCTTGAAGGCCCTACCTTTATAGATGAGGATTCATCTCGAGCGCAGGGGCGAAGCAGCTGTCGCCATGTTGACGTCTCCGTTTACTTCCATTCCACAGGCTCGAGGTCCACCCAAACATTACTGTTACGTAGGCTACCATTTACACGGCCATTTCTAGATCTTTATGTAAAAAAATAAACCCCGCCTGGGGCTACAACAGATCTACATTTCCGACCCTGACTGAAGAACCGAGATTGATGTGATTCCACGTAACGAGGAACCCACCCAAAGGGTTAAACGGTGTCTAGGCGACAGAGAAACCGTTTCTGGGTGTGCCTTTTTTCACTGATCAAAAATGCCTCCAACGTAAACGAGTTTCGGAGGCATAAAGGTTCGCATTAACACCGCAAAATTGGCCCATAATGGTGTTTTCGGATTGTGTTTTTCACCCCCTTCTCGTGTACAGCCAGTGTGCGACTGTGGGTGGGTGTGGAAATCTGAGGGAAGGAGGGGGTCGCGTTTGCTCCTCTTTTCAATGACAATCATTATCAATTTAATTAATGCGTTTTGTGGAAATGCCAAGACTTGTGAAATCCTCAAAACAAGAGTTATTATTCTATTAAGCTTTAAACAGACACCTGCAGTCCTTCGCTCAAGCAGCATCTCCCTAATTTTGATAGATCAGCCAAATTCAGCAGCACCATCATCATCTCCATAGGCAACCAGCGGACAGAAACCCAAACATCTGTCCAGTTTTCCTACATTCACAAATCCCCTGTAAAACCTCTGATATGGCTAAGAGCGATAATGCCACAGATCCAAATCCCGTTAAAACTCCTTATATGTGCCTGGATGATCCCAATTACAGCGCAAACATATCCTCATCCTCTATGATCTTTATATGGATACGATTAATTTTTTTGTTTCACGCCATTTAATCAAAATCCCACTGATGTAGATCAGCCAGAGGGTGACCTTTAAATGAATGACTCGTCATATTCTTCTTCTGAACATTAAGAACATTAAGTCCTAATCACCAACTGTATTTTTGTGAGGTAATAGCCTATAGGTCTATTTACAACAGCCATACATTAACATTTACACGATCCTTCTCGCAATTGTATACTGATTTGTAAGGCAAAATATGATTATTATTTGCCAGGCCTTTCTAGACGTTTCTGAATTGATCTTTTACTTACCATAGCGATGCCTGTCAGGCTCGAACCTGGATGACAGTGGGTTCCAATGACTTCGGTTTTGCCGTTAGTTCCTTCTATTGTGTTTTTCCTCCCACTAAAACGCGGTTGTTGTCAAACAGATTGAAAAGATGAGGCGATGTTTTTATCCATTGAAAGGCGCTCTCAGCTGTCGTTTGTCTCCCCAAATATCACGGCTGATAGTCGCTTCCGGTTATCGGTGGCTTGGGTGGTGGGAGTGACGCGTGCGCGAGCCTCACGACTCGACTCCAGACTCAATGCACAGCTCGAGCCAGAACCTGCACGTGAGGCCACGGTCGACGACTATTACGAACACACGGAGGTTGCACAGAGGTCAAATATCTACCTATGTGAAGCGGTTTACTTTTCATTTTTGTACATTACTTTTCACATTATTGTTGTTTCTTGAAATGCTTTATGTTTCACCCTTTTGTCTTGTTTAAATTTCGCTGAAAATAGGTTTTTAAATGGCAAGTTGGGGCATGTTGTTACAGAAGGTCAACGTGTTTTCTTTCAACTGTATCTTTTTTCTTGGCCAATAACGGTGAGAAAAGCAACAGTACAAGCCTTTTATGTGCCTATGCATAAATTGATTTAATAAATAGCCTACCCTGCAAATATTCACTGGATTAAAAGTGTGATAACTAACCCTGACATTCCCTGGGATTTCTTTGCTTGAAATGTCAGCACAACTGTCCAATAGTCTAATTTACTTTTATTCAAAGATGCTACTTTTTGTTTGAATTGCTTAAGTAAAAATGCTAAAAAGGTTTTGGTAAGACGTGACTTTTAAGCACTGATGATAATTCAAATCCTTTGCAGATATTACAAAAGCTTTATAATGAACCTTCTATTATCTAAATCTGTATCTTCTGTATACTTTTACACTTTTTATATTTTATATTGTGTCTGTGTATTCTGTATGTAATTATTATGCATTCAGAATATGTTTGTCTCACGATTCGATGCAAATAACTAATAAACTGTAACAATACCCAGACTCAGAGAGGACAAGCAGATAAATGTTAACAGTGATGTTTATTGTGCAGAAGCAGATCAAACAGGTGAGGACTGAGATTAAGCACGTGACCACAGAATGAATCACAGTCTTTGTCTTTAGCAGGGTGTGTGACAGCGGGATGGAAAGATGGATCGCACTGCACACCTCGTCTGGGTAGTGGCAAGTTAGCAGGTATCTTACACTCACATTGGTAATCAGGACTGAACCTATCATTTATGTGGTTCAGATAACATAATATTTCGAGTTTCTGTTGATATATCCCTCATTGTATTAACTTACATTTTTCATTTCAATGAACTCCAAATTTTAAGGCAACCAGGGTACTTTTTTGTAACCTTTTTTTTTTAAACCAACAATATTTTTTGCTCAAACAAAACCAGACAATGTGTGTATTCGAGGTGTGTGCTTTTATCAGTGAGGTGATGAAAGTAATGCTCAGTGACATATTCGGGTGATGGCTGCGCAGGTGAGAACCAGGAGGGATGCTGGGAAATGTAGTCCAGAGTGTGAATGAGGGAGAGTAGCAGTAGAGAAGGACCGGAGCACTCCTGACATAACATGACTTGATTTCATTGTTGTTTTTTCTAAATTACCCTAAAAGTACTATAAAACAATGTACCACATTTAAATGAACCACACAAGAAGGAAAAAACTATGTTCTCTCTAGGGACAAAAAGCTTTAGACAATATTAAAAGATTATTTGTACATTTCTCAGCCTATCACTACATTCACTTTCAAATATCCAGGACTTTACAGGTTCACATTATTGTGTTACATAGGGACTGAGGTTGTTTATTCCTCAAATCCTCGAATTCACCAGACACGGTCAAAATTAATAATCTTTATCCATGCTTGAAAGAGCTTGCTGGCGTACACTTCACCTGACCTGAGGCATGGGAGAGGCACGCTGCTCCCGACAATACGCCTGCGCCCCCTGGTGGCGACAGAGGGGAATGGTGGCGCTTCGTATGACACCTTCCCTATCACATGAGCTTTCATTGCTAAGAAACTTATCCGATTCTCTTCTTGTTCATTCAATTTTTAGTATGGATGGATGCACTGGTAAATTCCTATGGTCTCAGTCGTAAAAATAAACACTCAGAAAAGAACAGTGCATTACCGCACTGCTCCGCGTCGCGCCTCCGCAGGGCTCGTTGTGATGCATGACGCATCGCGCTGGTTTTGACATTCACTGAGCTTCCCTCATTAAGCGCTCTCGCCCGCGGGTTGTCATCGAGGCATGGGGCGAACTGAAGGATCACCAGTCCGCCGAGCGGACAGAACACGGCTGAACTCTCTCAAAGGAGCAGCTGCTGTGACACAAGTGTTTACCCCTGTCGAACGGATGAACAAACCAAACCGATACGTTCAGTGAAAGGTCCCATTCCTCAGCCAGTGTCGACTAATCAAACGATGTATCATGAAAGCATTTAGAAATTGACATTTAGATCAACGTTTAAAGTTTTAAAGTGTTGGTTATTTTAAAATGACCTTTGGTTCTGTGGGATTTTTGTAAATTTTGCTGTTTGATAGGCCTATTCTGTGATGTCATTTTAAAGTCAACAACATGAAATCAAAATTGATCATCCTCATTTTATAGAATATCGTAGTGTTTATTTTAAATGATTTATCAATGCATATCAAACATTATTTAATGCAGCCACATCTCTTCACTTCTCTGATGACGTTTTTACTGGCGCGAGGGCCGGACAACCTGTCACTCAAAGGAAATTGACCAATAGCAAACCACAACCAGGATCCAGTCGCTGTATTACAAAAACGAGACGTATTAAACTTTGTTTAACAACTAAATACAACACACATTGCATGAATATTTCAATAGGCAATTTAAACTGTAAATGTCTAACCAAACATAATAAACAATAGCCTAGCATATGGCGTTTAGGCGCTAATTGCAAATAGCAATCTAGTGATTTATCAATATACTTATAACAACAAACTATTACTCACCACGCTGGGAATATCGTTTTAGATTATATTTTTTATCTGTAATTGTTATAGGAAGACGTTAGAAAGTTTGCATATGAGCACAACATGTTGTTTTTTTTCTACCTGTGGCTGTGCCTCTTCCACCTGCAACCTGAGCCCACAGAATCAACGTCCTTAAAGGGCAGCACACTACAACCATATTTCCCTAAGTAAAATTTCAATGAAAAGTTCTTAAAATAATTATACTAACATCACTTTATGAAAAGTATGGTTACATTGTAAAATATATACAGGCATCCCATAATACCGGAAACACTGTCACAGTTTTTTTATAATCACATCAGATGCCAGTTTTTTACTGTCAGTTTATGCTTGGACATAAAATTGCTCAAAGTTAAAGAAACACCCTTAAATGACTATAAAAAATTAAGTGCTGTAACTGCAGACTGACTTGTATTTGAAATTCTTCAAATACTGTTCCTACAGCATCATATTTTTGTTAGATTAAAATGAGCTCTATATGCTAAGAAATCAAATACCCTAAAATATAATTAGGCTAGTCCCAATCTACACACACTAGACAGTTACATTAGCACTAAAGTGTGGCAGTGCATGCCTTCATTAGAATGGGCATGCTGAATATCTCAACTCACCCCTCTGACACTGAACACACACACACACAAGTTCATGAATATCTGTTCAGATGCCAGACTATGCACATGGACTGAAATGCAAACAGACACATGAGAAAAGATTCAAGGTCTGACTTTTCTTTGTGGAGCTGGCCGCTGGTCAGAGGATGTGCGAAATAAACAGTCTACTGAGAGATGGCATTGTGACCTGCTGCAAGGGGAATAAGGTCATGTTATCAACATGAAATGTAAACACATCTACACACAAGGCTATATTTGTGCATTTCGCTGTGTGTGTGTGTGTGTGTGTGTGCCAAACCACAGTCCTTTAAATGACTAGAGCATTTTTTTAGCATACATGTTACATAATTACTGTGATGAGTCCTTGACCCTGTTTTTCAGGGCTGTGGAGAAACCCCTTTGGTGCTTACAAAATAAACAAACAAAACATTTTACCTATGTATGATAGAACTAAATTCCCTACACGTCTGTGTGGCCCTGCTGAGCAAACAAGTGTTGAAATGAATCAGCTTCTGCAGCTGAGACTTTACACACGCTGAGAGAACAGACATCCACAATAATCTGATTACTCATCCCTCATGTGATTAGCCGCCAGAAGTTCTTGAAGATTCCCAGTGCCCTAGTGTTAACTAGTGTACACGTAAACACATGTAGCTTGATCCATTCATGCCCAAATACCAACTTTCTCTCACACAGCTCAAACAATTAACTCTCTGGTGCTCCTCATTTGGGGGTCACACTTGTGGTCTTCGCAGTCGAATGTGACAGAACCCCTGAAATGTAACACCCCCCAACCACGAGTAAAATCAATGTTATATAATTTTGTTTAATAATATTTTGTATTTTGAGCTAATTTTATGGTATTATGATCCATTTCTTGCTATTAAAAAAATAAAAAAATCTAATATTTTACATTATTTTCAATTAATGCAGTATTTAAGGGTAAAATAGAGGCCTTTCATGTTCAAGAGCAGACATGTCTGAGATAAGTTACAATGTCTCCCCCTTATTTTTTTGATTTATTGATTTTATTTCATATTCTTACATTTTCTCTGTATCAGTCTCACCAGTTCATTTCTCTCTCTCTCACTCTCTCTCTCTCTGTGTGTGTGTGTGTGCGTGCGTGTCTATTTTGTAATCTTGATGGCTTACAGTCTCACCCTTTCATTGCTGTGTGCTTTTTTTCTTACATTGTGGATGAATTATTGATTTGATTTTTCACATTTCCAAATGTGCATATTTCTCTGCGTCGTGGCTGATTTGTAGATTGTACACACACAAAAATAATCTGTATTTTCGTATTTTTGCCTATTTCCCATTCATTTTGTATGGCGGCCATTTTTGAAGACCACAAGTGTGACTTTTTTTACTATCACTCAAAAAAATTTGTGTTCATATACCAAGTGCCATAAAAGTCACCAAGTTTCGTACCATTCCGATGCAGCTATACGATTTTTACAAATTCAAAATGTAGAGAATGTCTAACTTTCAAAATGTCCTAACTTTATAAACAAAATACATTTTTGATACAAAATTACTCCTCAACAAAAAAGCATTTTGATCTATGAATTTAAAGTTGGCATGAAACGGAAGTTGCGATAGTATTTTCTTCCCTTTCAAGAAATATCCATATATCCATTCCATTTCATGAAACGCCTTCTTGAACAGGAAAAAGTGGATTTAATTTTGTCCCTCTTGGAAACATTGGGCCGTTGTGGTTTGCTATTGGTCAAGCTCATGTGAGTGACAGATTGTCCCGCCCTCTCGCCAGTAAACACGTCATCAGAGAAGAGGTGGTTGCAAGTGGGGTTAAGTTCTTTTAATAAAGTTTTTGAGGCCACGAGTATTTTTATAATAATAAAAAATTGTTATGTACACAAATAAATCATTTATAATTAATAGGCTAAGCAATATTCCATACAAAATGGAATTGTCCATTTTGATTTCATGGTGACTTAGAGTTAATTTAAATCAATGTCAACTCAATAGCCTCAGAACAGAAATGCTATCTCTCTCTCACACACACACACACACACACACAGGAAACAGATTTGTTGATGTCACAGCACTGGGCATGTCCATACTGACAACACTAGAGGATTAACAACGCTTGTCTTTGCATTCACTCTGATTCTTTACTCAGTTAGTCCTTCTATTATTTAGCAACGGCAGGTGTTTGAGGAACCCCCTGACTAAAGACTGTGGTAAGTACGATAAAGGTAAGGCATAAATAAGATACAGGTGCCATCACTGCCATACATTGTGAAATTGTGTCCAAGCGCTGAATAGCCTACTTTACGTGCGCATCGGTGAGCTAGTACTTAAGTTAATCCTGCTTGTAATGTAACAAACCCTTTTAAGCTGTAGTGAATGCATTGTAAATTTCAGTTTGTGAACTTTTCGAATAAAATAAGAGTAAACTGGGCAGATATGGGGTAAATATCTCTGCATAAAACAACCAAATTTGTATTTCGGAGTGAATTTACCGAGCGTTGGCTGGCCGTGTTTGGTAAATGCGCACCAGGTGCACGTGCGTTTGGTGTTTTTCGAGTTCGTTCTCATGGGAAATTGACATGTGTATTACTCCGCTTTGCCTCGATGATCAGCGGCAGGAGGCGTGAAGTAACACTCACGCCCAGTTATAATAAAACTAAAGCTCCAACGAAGTGAACGAGCACCAAACACACCCAAAGGCGTTGGCTGCCCAACATTACTTTTAATTTTAGTCCCTTTCGAGATGGGTGCATTTGATTAATTAAACTGTTTTTTTTTTTTTTTTTTACTCTCCAGGTGGGAATTTGTAATCAGCTGTGATTCGGACGTCATTTTGTGCTGGACTGGTATGTAACGGCAAGTTCCACAAACGGCCTTAAAAGCATTTTTCAACAGTTATCAAAGTTTTGTACATGTTGGTGTGCACTTTAAAACATTGGTTTGTGTTCTTTCGTTATTTTAGAACATTAATTAAACATTCGTAATATAAAAGGTATAGGGTGCAAATTTCAGAAAACTCAAGTTTTTTACTGTCACTTTTGATCAATTTAATGCATCCTTGCTGAATAAAAATATTAATTCCTTTTTTTTTTTTTTACTTACTGACCACAAACTTTTGAACGGTAGTGTAAAAAAAGTATTTACTTGTCTGCTGTTTTGTAGTTTGTGAGGAAATTGTAGGACACAGCTGATTGTGTTTTAATAAGTAATTAATTATAAGTAAGTAATTCTATACATTTCTAAAGTTGGATATTATTTGGAGGGGGCTTAAAGGCAATTAATGTGATAAAAAATAACAACATAAGTACCTAGTTTTAAAGTTAAAGCAAATCCGAGATATCACAGATTTATTGCTCTAAAGAACATGGGAAATGTGCTTTTACTGCTTAAAAAAGGTAAAGCAACTACAGTAAAATCTGTTTCCATTTCTAAAAGGTTTACAGTTGATGGAACATACCTGGAAATTCCCCCTGCACAGCCCTAGCTGAGACACACAGGGGATTTTTTCACACAGGTTGGTGACGTGATTCATTAAAAAGCATTCTGTCATGAGTGTGTAACAGTGGATGCCATAAATGCCTCTGTTCCAAAGAACTACCACCAGAAACTACACCAGTGGTTGTATCTGGATGGGTTTTCTCTCATCATTTCTAATTGAAAAAAATGATGTAGGGAGTTCTCTGAATGACCTAGCGATTTATTTTTCTGCTTCATCAATAGGACAACCCAAAATCTACAGCGTCATCTGTCCTTCATACTACCTACAGCACACACCCATGGATCCCCAAGAAGATCTCATAGACAGGGACATTCCTCTGACTGTACTGCTCCCAGGAGGACAGGAGACCACAGCCACAGTGCATGGCAGGTGAGCGAGAAGGAAAAAGTAAAGGTGATCTTGCACATTTTCACCAATCCTTTCACTGGAATGAATGTCTGGTCATGTTTTAATCCAGCTGTATGTGTTTGCGCTTGCAGTAAACCAGTTATGGATGTTCTGGTTACGTTGTGTGCTCAACACCACCTCGTTCCATCGGATCATGTCATCAAGCTTATCTCCACAAATCAAAACTACATCAATTTCAAACCCAACTCCGTGATTGGCTCTCTTGAGTTTGAAAGAGTTGTCCTGCAATCTAAAGGGAGTGATGCTAACAAGAAAAAACCTCATATTCCTGTGGTAAGTCTGATCGAAAGCCATGATTTATATCCAGTGTTGGGGGTAACGCATTACAAGTAACTCGATTACATAATTGATGCATTTTTTCAAGTAACCCATCTATTGACTGACAGCTCTCTTGTCCCCAGAAAATGTTAAAAAAAATTCCCAGTAAGTGCAGAAGCGTTATGTGTAAACATGATGGTTATATATTGTAGTTCTAGACTAAATGTGAGTGGTATTTACTAATCTCACTTGCAAAAAAAATAAGATTGTGTTCCTCGAAACGAGTAAAATAAGTGAAATGCAAAATCACAATACTACAAAAATACTACACAAACCTTCAATAATTAAATGTTAAATAAAACAAATATTGTATACATTTAATCTCACTTTATTGACCAATGTACTTGCGGCTGACCTTTGATGATTCAGCAAAAATGACTTTAGATTTCTTGTATTCATTGGTGAAGTAAGTGTTACACTTTCTTCTCCTCCATCCTATTCTTCTGCAATCCAGAATGGCAGATCAGCTGAAAGGTTTGTCTGAGCTGCGTCCTCTACTGTACACGTGTGAATTTGCATTTCCATCAGCCTGAGGCTTATTGATTTCACTTTTGGTGCGAAAGGGCCTTTACATTAAATAGAACTTCTTTGTTATAAAAAAAAAAAGCCCAGCCCAGGTGAGAAAAAGTAACGCAAAAGTAATGTAACTTAAAAAGTAACTAAGTGATGCAAATAGTTACTTTTTAAGGGAGTAACTCGATATTCTAATACATTACTTTTCAAAGTAACTTTCCCCAAAACTTTCTATGTCCATCTTATTTAATAATTGTATCCTTATTTTTTTATTTTTTGTCAGATATCCAGCAGTTCATCTAAAGTTCTGTATACCCTTATGGTGCAACATGGAATTCATGCTGGATTTTTCAGCAGGGTTGTCGTGTCACATTAGACCTGTCATAAAAAGTTTTTGAATAAAAAGTGTTAAAAAATTGAATTTTCCAGGCAACAGTTCGTCTTCTGATAAACTACAAGATGTCCCATAAGGCAGTAGCACGGGTCAATCCTACAGTGCCGCTGATTGAGTTAATGCCCACAGTGTGTGAGAAGTGTGAGTTCAACCCTGATGCCACCGTCTTACTAAAGACATACAAATCAGAGGAAACCCTGGATCTCACCAAAACACTGAATGACTATGGAATCAGGGAGCTGTATGCCAAGGAAATGAAAGGTCAGTAAAAAAGGAAAAATAGGGCAGTGTAAAAGCACTGTAGTGTAATTATGTAACACTGTTGCATACTACAATGTACTGTCTATAAAGCTTTTTTGTTGCGTACTAAAGTAATATTAATCTTTTGTAGTTGTTTGATATTTTTTTCTTCTTACAGTGGTACCAACGAATCCTCCTGTTGATCCTGTATCAACTCATAAAGGTACAAAGCTTCAGTCCAAACATATCGAAGTTGTTTCCGCCTCGGTATATAAAATAAAAAGGGTAATTGTGACTTATCTCACAATTATAAAATCGCAATTGCGAGTTATAGACAGAATTGCATGATATAAAGTCGCAATTGCGAGAAATAAACTCGCAATTCTGAGATTTTTTTTTTTTTAATTCTCAGAATTGCATGTTTAGAACTCGCAATTCTGACTTTATAACATGAAATTGCGACTTTATACCACACAATTCTGACTTTATATCTTCCAATTGCGTTTAAAGTCAGAAGTGTGAGATATAAAGTGTTTTTTTCCTTAGAAATGGACTTTATAATTCGCAATTGCAAGTTTATATCTCACAAATCTGAGAAAAGATGTCAGAATTGAGTTATAAACTGGCAATTGCAAGAAAAAAGTCAGAACTGAGTTTATATCTCGCAATTCTGAGAAATAAAGTCAGAATTGCGAGATGTAAACTCGCAATTGTGAGATAAAAAGTCGCAATTATCTTTTCAAATGTTTTATTCTGTGGCCTAAACAAGCTTCCATACAAAAAAGCTAATTTTGTAGCACAAAAATATAATATATCTCTTTAATATAGCACTGAACCAACCATTTCTGCACTGCTCAGATTTGTCCACAAAAGTGTATGTTTGATCTATGAGGCTCTTTTGTGTGTGTCCAGGTGGTGTCAAAGAAAAGAGCCACAGAGAGAAGGGAAACAAAGGTTTCTTTGGTTTATTCAAGAAGAACAAGAAAACACCTGAGCAGGTTTGTACACCTGTCAGTTTGTCTGGTTTAGCAGTCTGTGCAACCTGCTGGTTGTCATATTCAGGAAACGATGGGGGGTGGGGGGTATCATAACTGAACTGTAACACTGTAAAACACTTGTGCAGGTCCACCCATCTGTCTCTGCATCTGTTTATCTTTCAGATTAGCCTGTGCATTTGCTTATCTGGTAATGCAATTTGCATATTGAAATTAATTTGACATTTTTGCTCTTATGTTTTATTTATTTCTTCTTCAGGCTGTGACTGACAGTGCTTCAACATATCTTGAACTGAACGGCCAATGTGCGATCAGGGTGAATGGTCTTAACGGCTACTCGACCTTACCCATGGTCCCTGCCGACATGGCAAAGAAGAGACCCGCTCCGAAGCCTCCTATGACGGCGTCCCAGAGTGTCGCCTGTGGACTTAACACCAGAGACTTTTCTGACCTATCAGAAAGTGACCCTGCTGGAAAACAGGTGGGAATGCTTTGGGCATCTCCATACCAGTCCAAACCTGAATTAGCTTTTGTGTAATTAATTTGCTGATCAGCTGGTGTAGCAATGAAATGGAGGTTTAAACTACACTGTTAACATTTAAATTGTTTTTATTTTATTTTTTGTATTTAAAAAAAAACTTTAACCCTTTTAACTTTAGCCCTATTAAATTGAGTTGTATTCATATTAGCATGCATTAGTGTTATTTTTAGTAAAATAAAATAGTATGTGTATGTTTCTGTGGCATGTTCTAACTGGCATGCTATTTTTGTGCAGTATGTATCAGGGTTATTATCGTTAACTAAATCTAAAAAAAAAAAAAAATTGAAATAAAATATAAGTATTAGATGGAAAAACCTAAAATAAACTAAGATTAGACGTGTTGGCTTGGTAACTAACTGAAATAAGTTAAAGCACTAAAATTACTAACTAGAAATAAATGATTAATAAAACTGAAATAAAAATAAATTGAACCTAAATAGTAGTATTAAAAAATAATAATAATAAAAATGATAAAAGCACATACAGTAACATTAAAAAAAATAAAAAAATAGCTTATTAAAAATATTCATATATAATATAATAGTGTATAAATTATAACACAAATGATAGAACACAAACTCATTAATTGGCAGGATTGCCACTAATATTTTCAAAAAGAATTTAATTTCTTAACAATAAATTAAACCACTGTTTTTATTTCCCATATGACAATTTGCTGAATTTGACAAGCAATGTAATGAAGTTATGTGACAACTACAGCATATTATTGTTCAAAATTGCATAGTGCATACTGTTTCACTGGTAATGTATTTACTGTGTTGTATGGCATGAAGCAGTATGTTAGTATTTTATTCCAAACATAACCTCTATGTGCTTTGCTCAGGGTCTGCTCAGTCCTATTTCTTCCACTGAGTCCTCCCTTAAAAGGACTAAACGGAGAGCTCCGCCCCCACCGGGTGATGGCCCCGCCCCATCCAATTCAGATAACAAAGGTATGTATTAATTTTTATACCATTTTATATCTTATATATATATATATATATATATATTCAGACTATATAAGTTATTTTAAGTTCTGGCAGGTCACGTTAGTCAAGCTGTCTCTCATAGGAATACATCTACCTATAGGAATACGACGCCTATCACAGCATCCATATATAAGCTCCAGCTATCGCGTTCTCAGGAGCGAATTACCCTCCTCCATCCCAAACTCCTCCTCTCGCCCAGTCAGCATTTGGCAGTCTGATTCCTCTTTGAATCAGACTGAATTCTCAAATTATGTTTTATATTTAAAAAAGGGGGGTTATCGCTGCTCTCCCTGCTCTTATCCATGCTAGACTGCATGGATGCGCATCGGAGTTCTCGCCCAGAACAGAACCATACCGCCAATCCAAGTATGCTAATTTTCAATCGTATTTGACGATAGTGGTCCTGACAGAAGTTGCAGTTTTCTGTGTTAATGCATTTGTGAATACTTGTGTGCCTGTTAGTGCTAGTTTCCTAGACACCAATGCTATAAAATATCAGCATAGAATCAACATTAAGATAGATATGGAGGAGGACCCCGCCAATAATTAGAAATGGTCAAATTGTCCCACCAATATTTTAAATTCTTGCACTGCTCTGCTGCACTCCATTACGCAGGATATTATGTTAAGATGACAAAGTTTTACATTTTCAGTCTGGTCTGCCGTGTCAGTGTCAAAATGATTGAGATGGCCAATCAAATGACTATAGAGATGTCAAATTACCGACAGTAACATCCAGAAATGCAAACTACTCGATTTTCTTTCTCAAATATGGCCGTTTTGAATTGAAAATAAGCTATCATGATTCATGTAATTCCTAACTGAGTGTGACGAGACAAGAAACGTTTTATGCTTCTTCTTTTTTTTTTTTTTACATATTAGACATACAAAAGAAAGTACATGTGTGCATATTTTAATGCAAGTATTATTTGCAAATGGGTCAAAATAGTCCCCCACCCCCAATGTTCAAGACATGGGCTGCATCCAAAATCGCATACTTCCCTACTGTATATAGTAGGTGAAAAACAGTATGTGACACAAGAAGTATGTCTGAATTCACAGTACTCATAAAAGAGTAGGCAAAAAGTCCCCGGATGACTTTCTACTTCCGGCGAGATTCTGAAGTGTGCATAAGATGGACACTTTACTATCCCATGAGGCAACGGGAGAGGATTTATGAATGCCTGTGAATAGTAGGTCACATGATAATGATAACATGCCGAATTTAGTACATCCAGATTACATTCATACTATATAAAACATACTTTTTTTAGCGACCGTGAAGTATTTACTTATTTCGATTTCGGACGCAGCCATGGTTACATCCTTGTCATAAAACTCTTTTTTTTTGGTTTCCCACAACTGTTGGATTAATTATTTGCTCTTGTTTTACACTGTCCTACCAGGAGGGGGCGCCTAACAGGCAGCACATCCTTTCCTCCTCTTCTCCTCCATGCTTGCTTCTCTGTTCCTGCTCTCGTCGGTGATGGGCTTATTCTCCTCTGTTTTTACATAGCCTTATGTCTTATGCACATTGCACTGAACTCTGTCTTGTCTGTTGTTTAATCAGCTTCCTTGTTTAATGTCACTCTCTGGCTTAGACCGTATAAAGGTTGAAATGTAATGTGATGTGTTTAGCAGGCAAATCTGTAGTGCTTTCTTACAATAATTGTGCCTTAATTCAGCGAGGTGTATGGCTGCTCAGTTAGACACCGCTCTCAAGATGGTTGTAATCAGTCTTTGATAATTTTATCCACATAATTGAAGTTCAGCTTTATTAAATGTCAATCATGTCGATGTCTTTAAGATGTTAGGTCAAAAGGGATGCTTTTTAAGAGTCTTAAATTATTCACATTTCAGGAATTCTAAATGAATTAATCAGCCACAAATATTTTTCTTTCTTTTTTTTATTAAAAATTGTTTTTTGCTTTTGGTTAGAATCATTTTAATGTTGTTATATTTGTCTTTAATTTTCTGTGTGCTTGTCTTTTTGTGTTCTTTTTCTTCCGAATTTTAAGTTGTTTGTTTTTGTCTTTTGCCAAATTAACTTTTGAAATTCAATTTGCTAATACTGATTCATATTTGAATAAATTAAATAAAAAAATATATACTGTACACTTTGCTGTTTGTGTTGGTGCTGTATTAAGAGGTTACAGATGAACAGATAAACAAGACACACTGGTGAAAACATTTCTGTGTCTTTGTCATAACACTTTGTTTCGCTTCAGTAGATGAAGCTCAAGGGGACGACAAGCGTTCAGACAAACACAGAGCTCGCATAGCTGACCGCTGCCCTGCAATCGCTAAAGTTATGAGCGAACTTGCGCAATCTCTGCAGGCACGGCGACAGAGAACGCTGTCTTCTGCAAAGTATGTTCATTTTGTCTGGATCTAATTATTCATGATTTGCACTTCCTTAGAAATATAGAAATTGTCTGGATGGTTTGTGTGAGTGTTTCAGTCGGATAATATCAGCCAGGAAACCATTTCACTGTTTTTATTTTTCTAAAATTGAATATCTTCCTATTCAATTTCCTCTTTAGTTCTCCTATATCCCAGAATCAACCAGCAGAAGATGCGTCTACGGGTTTGTTTTCGGAGCATCACACCCCTGAGGCTGAGCTTAAGGCACTTCCTGGCTGTCAGCTGCTGAGGAGCCCCTCTGAGAGAGAGGGTTTGACCACCTTCACCGTGGTTCCCCAGAGACGTCAACAGAGCCGGCAGTGCTTAGATCTGCCACTGGCACTACAGTCATCCGCTGCTACTAAAGCTGAGAAAGACCTGAGTCCTGGAGACCCGGATGCCATTGAGACCCCCACCACAGAGCTTTTGGAGGAACTCCCATCTGAACTTTTCAGGAATGGGGGCAAGGGTTCAGACAAAAGTGAGCCCTTATCAGAGGTTCTACATCTACAGCAGCTGGAGAACGAGAATCAAGCTTGGACGGACATTGAGAGTGAGAATTTGGAGCTGAAATATGAAGAGGACCAATGTATTCATGAGAGCTTAGAATCCCTACAAAGGGGCCTAAATAATCCAGAACATTTAGATTGTAAAATGAATAATCTAGAACTAAGAGACAGTAAAATGAATAATCTAGAACCAAGAGACAGTAAAATGAATAATCTAGAACCAAGAGACAGTAAAATGAATAATCTAGAACCAAGAGACAGTAAAATGAATAATCTAGAACCAAGAGACAGTAAAATGAATAATCTAGAACCAAGAGACAGTTGGGTTTGTCCTTCGAAACCAGCTAATGAACTTTCTGACAGGTCACCAATCAATCCAAATACAGGTCTTGTTGAGCGAGAGGAGATGGAAGAGCATGCTTTGGTGGAGACTGAAGAAGAGACGGACTGGGTAGAGCAGTACAAAGAGAGGAGAAGGAAGTTTCTAGATGGTGATAATGATGGAATGAAACAATTTGATGTTTGGGGAAGGATTCAAAGAGAATATACTAACTTGCAAGAAGAGAACACAATGCAAGAAATGGGTTTTCCCTCACCGCCGCCACCTGTCTACTGGGATGAGAAGAGCGGTGAATACAAAGAGGATATAGAAAACAGGAGTGAGCAGGAAATACAGTCCTGTGATGACCAATGGTCAAACTTTGATCTAAGTGCTAACTCAAAGCCCAAATATGTGCCTTACCAGCACTACTCCAAACCAAAAGCCCACTCTACACAAACTAACCCTAATGCGTACACCCCTGGTGCTGAAAACAATTGCAGCTTCACTCCAGAACCTCATAAAACCTCGAACTCACATTCAAGCTTTGACCCTTGCCCTCCAGCAGCGTCGCTCTTTGCCTTGGCTGTATTTCAGAAGGCTAAGCGTTCCAAACCAGGGCTGGATCCCAACTGCTCCAGAAGACGGGAGCTGCCCATGCTGACACAGTGAGTAAAATTACTCACTGAAATATTAATAGAAGGTTCTTAATATTAATGAAATCATCAACATTTATATGTTGTGAATAGTTACAAAGAGTAATTTCTAAATTACTTTCCACATTCAAATGTCAACCATCTTTTTGACCCTCACATGTTTGATGGAACTTATTGGGCCAAAACATTAACATACAGTACTACTGTTCCAAAGTGTGGGGTCAGTACATTTCATTTTTTTTTTTTTTTACAATAATTTTACTCCGCAAGTAATGTATTGTACAGCAATGATGTATTCAGATGTATGAAATTGATCAATGGTATATAAATACCTTAATATTAAAAAAGATAAATAACAAAAAAATGCTGTTCTTTTTATCAAAGAATCCTGAAAAAAAGTTCATTTAAAAATATATTAACTACATATTAAGCATCAAAACTGTTTTTAACTGTGATAATTAGAAATTTATCTTAAGCACGTCAGCATGTTAGAATGATTTCTGAAGTATCACTGAAGACGAGTAAAAATGCAAAAAAATTTTTTTGAAGAATTACGTTTTAAAATATATTACAATAGAAAACCGTTGCTTTAAATTGTAATAATATTTCACAATATTACTGTTTTTACTGTGATTTTGATTTTTAAAAAAATGCAGCCTTAGTGAGCATAAAAGACCTTCAATAACATTAAAACATTTTTACCAACCATAAACTTTGGAACAGTGTTGATCTTTTTCATCGGACGGGAAACTAACAGAATTAAAAGGATGTATAGGCGTCTTTCAAATGTATTGGTTAGTTCATTGTCGAAAGGGCAAGGTGTGTCTGGGTCAGGAAATGAAGTGTGTGTGTAATGTAAATGACGTCTGACACTCATAATAGTCTCTTTGTTTATTTAATGGGGATCTTCCTTCCTCTAAGCATGTTTTATGTGTGTTGTACAGTACATGTGTGTTTATAGTTATTGATGCATTCTTTCATGCATTCCAGAGTTCATAGCCTGAGTGTGTTTTGTACACTGCCGTTCAAAAGTTTAGGGTCGGTAAGATTTTTTAAATGTTTTTTTAAGAAGTCTCTTATCCTCACCCAGGCTGCATTTATTTAATCTCAAATACAGTATAAACAGTAATAATTTACAATAACTGTTTTCCATTTAAATAGATATTTTTAAATGAAATATATTTCTGTGTTGACAGCTGAATTTTCAGCATCATTACTCATGTGTCACATGATCCTGCAGAAATCATTCTAATATGCTGATTTGCTCCTTAAGAAACATTTATTATTATTAATGTTGAAAACAGTTGTGTATTTTTTTTAAAAGGATTCTTTAATGAATAGAATGTTCAAAAGAACAGCATTTATCTAAAATAGAAGACTGTTGTAACATTATACACTATATACAACATTATATAATACTTTTATTCAGCAAGGATACATTCAATTTATCAAACGTGACCATAACGACATTTCATAATGTTACAAAAGCTTTCTATTTCAGATAAATGCTGTTCTTTTGAACTTTATATTATTCAAAGAATCCTGAAAAGAATTGTACACAACTGTTTTCAACATTACTTATAATAATAAATGTTTATTTAGCAGCAAATCAGCATATTAGAATGATTTCTGAAGGATCATGAACCACTGAAGACTGGAGTAATGATGCTGAAAATTCTGCTTTGCCTTCACAGAAATAAATTTTAAAATGTGTTAAAATAAAAAGTTATTTTAAATTGTAATAATATTTCACAATATTATATTTGGATCAAATAAATGCAGCCTTGGTGTGCAGAAGAGACTTCTTTTAGAAACATAATAAAATCAAACTGATCCCAAACTTTTGAACGGCAGCGTGTGTCTTTATGAAATTTGGAATGATAACGTAATCCAATAATAACTCAACAAAATATGTAACAATACAATGTACTGCCATGGGTTCCTAAATGACTGATGTCTGCTAATCTACAATGGGGCGCTGGGGGGGGGGGGGGATATTTTATATTCAATATTTTATATCTGTTAAATATTGACCAAATTTGATGAGATTAGTTTCATGGTGAGATTTAAATGGGTTAATTGAGATTAATCACAATTATTTTCTTTTGTCTATAAGTTTATATCCAACTTCCAGAAAGATGTGACTTACTATGATGTCTTTTTCCCCCAGGTAATTGATGGTCATTCTGAATATGGGAGTGTTCATTTGGCTTAAATGAGGAAGAGGTTTTCTTCATCAGAATGAAGAGCAGGACACACTCCTGATGTTTAAACTCCTCATTTATCTTATCATATGACTATTTGATTCTATTCTATGTTTCAATCATTATGGATATTTTGGTTGGATGAGGGAAAAACAGTTTGAACGCTTAATCTGAATTTTCCTGTTCTGTCAACTGATTTTCACGTGTCCTGGCTTTCAGAAAGGGTGATATTTTCCAGCTTTTTAATTGACTCTCACGAGAACAATATTACGCCGAGTAAACTTTGCCCCAAACAAATACACTTGGAGGGGGAATCATGCATGTATTCATATGTATATATTTTTGTATAATAATGAAGCCTCATATTCTGTGTTAAATTCTTTTTTTTATTTTTTATTAAGAAATTAGTCCTGAGAAACTTGCCTGGATACTATTTTGTACATTTTGTCTTTTGTATTTTTGAGCATAAGTAAATAAAATCTGCTCATAAAATTCACAGGCAAAGTATGATTCATCATTCAGATTTGGAGAACAATATCATAGCAAAGACAGAGAGTGGGTGGTGATGTGTTGCTAAACTCCAAATAGCACTATTATACTGTGTGGCAGATGTCATCCAAAGCCATGCACTAATGGAGAAATTCATGTAATCATTTACTGAAAATCTTGCGGTGCACTATAGCTCTTAAGTCTATTATGTGCTTTTGCAAATTCAAACAGCAAAAACCATACAACCATTATGCTAAACGAAAGGGTTGTAAATGTTTTCTGTGTGCCAAGTGGATTGTTTGTTAGCACATTGCTATGTGGGTAGCCCGTTCAAGATTCTAGATGTGCTGCTTTTGTCTACAGAATCTATGATATACTTATCCCTAGACATTGCTAGGGTCCCAGCGAGTGGGTCTAAAATACTTGGAGAAAGCTGATAGCATTCCCATTTATCTCAATGGCATTTGCTCAGTTGTTTCATAAACTCCTGGAAGTACATGACCTGGAGGCTGCCATCTTCATTAATTCAGAGATTGATCACTCACTGTCGCACAATCTTTCAACCATGTTGACCTGCAGGAGAAAATAATTTCTAGGTGTAAAATGTTTGCTTGTAAACTCATTTAGAGTAACTGATGTTCACTAGGGGGCAGTATATACCAATAGCGATAAGAGCTTGTGAACCGTGTATTGTGCATGTGTTTTTGTTACAGGCAGGCATGTCAAACACTTTTTCCCTTCACTGATCCTAATGTAACTCGCGTACCTTGCGGATCCTTTCAACTCTAATTTTTTTAATGATAAACAAATGTCAAATTACAGGAGAGCTTTTCAACCAGAGACGCAGTGTTGTTGTTTTTAGAAAGGCCTACCATCCATTTTCTGCTACTAACATTTTTTTCTGTGCGTCAAGACAAGTTTTATAGACTTCATAAAATTGAAGGAAAAAGCTGTCGGCGTTGCTTTATTCTCTGGGCAGTCAAATACATTAAAAAGGATGAAGTTTATTTATCTTCCTGGCTTTTTGTTTGAAGAGGACTCTCTCAAGGCCGCAACAGCTTGCAGAGTGGTTGCATCTCCACCTTTTAGACCTTCAGCCATTTCAGATTTTCCTCTTATTTTCAAGGCGTGTTTTCCTGCCCTCTAAGACACCTCTCTGTGGTGTGTAAGAATGGTTTTCCAACAGGCATGGCTGATTTAATAGGACCCTGCTAAGCACAACGAGGGGCTTTTCATCAAATTGGGCTATTGAAACCCACGTGTGGCCGTAAACACTGCGGGTATATGTTTGCCATAGCCGATTGGGGGTTAGGTGGGCTTTATTGGTCATCTGACCTATGCATGTTTTCTATTTTATAAAGCTAGTTTGATCTATATGTGTGTAAGTATGCTGAGGGAACTGATTGAAATGCTCTCACATTAAAATATGCACCTTGTGCAAAGTCCACTGGTGGTGCATGAGATGGAGGAAGCGTCTAGTTCTCCCTGGTGAACTGGTGCCTTTCTCACCTCCCTCATCAGTATTCCGGCAAGTTTGTGGCGTGCATATTCTACTGGTCACTGAAGCCAGATCAGCGCTCCCCAACCCCCGCGCAGCACAGACACGCACACTCATGAATACTGATCACCTAAAGCCCTAATTAACAATCAGAGCCAAACTTATTTACATAAAGTCTGTCTCAGATGGAACAGGCCTCAGATGAAGCTGTCAGACAGATATCTGCACTTAAAAATCCAGTGAAATCTGTTAGACTTTGATGGGTCGCTGAGTTCACTGACAGCAACTTAAAAGTAACAGTTTTGGACTGTGGTATTAATAATGTACATATAGTCCGTATAATATATCTTATCTCTGTGAAAATGAATAATGAAGAAGATATTTTGAAAAATAAACGTAACCAAACAGTTGATAAGCCCCATTGACTTCCATAGTATGGAGGGGGAAAAAATACTATGGAAGTCAATAGGGTCCATCAACTGTTTGATTACATTCTTCAAAATATCTTCTTTTGTGTTAAGTAGAAGAAAGAAATTCATACAGGTTTGGAACAACTTGAGGGTGAGTAAATGATGACAGAATCTTTTAATTTTGGGGTGAACTATCCATTTAAGGTGTGTTCGACTTCAAGCAGCGGTGGAAGCCTCTCCTTCTTTACATCCCTGCTTAGCGGCCGAGAGCAGAATTGTGGACCCAAGCGTACCTGGTTCCCCAACATTAACCCTGTAATACTTGGCAAAGGTACAAGGTGAACTCCATGATGCCACTGTGCATATGTCTGTTAGTGCCACCCCCTTCAGTGCTGCACATTGCTACGTTCCAGTCCACTTTTAGACATGCACTTGCGAACTTCCCTAAGCACTTCCCTTCGGGGGAATCTCTGCCGCCATTTTGAAGTGCGTTCCACTTCGTGAAGTGGACGAGGGAAGTTTATATGGACAGACCCTCGCTCCCTCGATTTTGACCGAGGGAGCGAGTCTACTTCATATGTACACTTCAGGCAGCTCCATATACCACAATGCAACACAATTGTGATGTCACCGCAGATCTGGTCTTTTTATTTAAAACAACCTAAACACATCTATATACATTTGGATGCGGCATTAAACAAATTCTTAAAGGGAAACATTTTTGAAATAATAAATCAACTCCATAGCTGATTCCAAGTGATCAAGGGCTTAGGACGTTCCAATTCAGCCCATTGCAGTTTCCGCCAGTAGTGGGCACTCATGCAACTTAAGCAATGACGTACATCCGAGTGAACGAGACGGAGGGAAGTTAGCGAGTGAAGGGCATGACAATTTTGGACTGGAACGCAGCACAGGATGTGGCCAGACTCCTGGTAGAATGAGCTACCAGGTTCCCTGGGACTGGTAAACTCTGACTGGAGTATGCTTGTGCAATAGTGTCTACTCCAATGTGATAGACGCTGTTTCGAGGCTGGTTATCCGACACTTTTCTTATCAAAACACAAAAACAACTGAGTGTGTGAATGTTGTAACGACTGTGTGCACTCAATGTATGTGCGAAGTGTTCGAACTGGACATAAGGTAGCAAGATCAAGCTCTGTACAAGAGAGATCAGGATCAGGTTGAAACGCTGCAAGTTCGATTACTTGATTGATCAAGCTAGTATTAAGAACTTTAGGCAGGAAAGCCGGGTTCGGCCAAAGAGAGACCCCTGAATAGTCTGTTTTTCATCTCAGACAATCTTCAAGACTGTAACTCACCCACTCTTTTTGCTGAACAGATAGCAAGGAAAACTGTTTTCCATGTTAGTGATTTAAGATCCGCTTGGGCCAATGGTTCAAACGGGGCCCTAGTCAATGATTGTAGAACCATGGGAAGATCCCAGGATGGTGATCTTAGCCTTTTTTCTGGATAGAGGTGACGTGCCCCTTTGAGAAATTGAGTAACCAACATGTGTTTACCAACAGATAAACCTTCCACAATACTGTGAAAATAAGAAATAGCCCGAACATAAACCCTTACTGTGTTGACCTTTCTTCCTGAGTTTAAAAGTGACTGAAGAAAGCATAAAATAGAATCAAGACCACAATTCGTGGGGTCCAAGTTTTTGTCCTGACACCAGTTAGAGAACACACGCCACTTGCTTGAGTAGTAGTGGAAGGCGCTTCAGCATTGTTTATGGTTTTCCTGCCTCCTCCAGCTGACAAGAGAGGGGCTGAGTAGGGGCCAAACCCAGAGTTGTAACGTGTCTGGGTTCAGGTGCCAGATCTGACCCTCCACTAGAGAAGGTCTGCTCTGATAGGTAATGGCCAAGGATGGCCCTGTACCAGATGTAGGAAAAGTGGGAACCAATGTCTCTTTGGCCATTTCGGGGCGATCAGTAAGATCCTGCAATTTCCCAGATCCACCCGTTTGAGCATGAGGAATCAAAGGCTTCAGCAGAAGCAAAAACCATCGATTAACCACCTTGTAGCTCACAATAAGGCTGTCTTTAAAGGTTTAGAAGTTATCGTTAAAAATCAATTTCCCTATGGAGAAAATAAATGGAGTTTTTACTTCTGGAACCCGACTGTTGCACTATATAACTTTTAACTTCAATGAAGCAACTCAGCGATCCTTCGTTAATAGTTGTAAAGTGGCATTTACTGTATGCCTGATTAGTAATAGAGGCTTGGGCTCAACTGTTAAACTGTCAACTTGAGATTTGAATCTGTGCTATAAGGAAGTAGTTCCACAGACACAAGAGGGTTTTTTAAGACACCCCGTTGTTGTTTCTTTTTTATTTACACACTTATGCCTTCAAACTGTTGTATAAATGCACTAGTAGTCGTACAGCATATAGCTTTAAAGTGTTATTTTACCCACCTGATACTATATAAGCAGTTTTCATCTGAAGGTATGCCTGACCTTTCCGACTGTCCACAAATGTCAGTTAGGCTTTCAGGCACGGAGCTGAGTTTCTCTTTAACATTGCCTCCCACAATCTCTGACATTTCCTCTGATGTCACCACATTCTAACCCCCACAATGCAGTGCGGATGATCTCTCCTCCCTGCCCTTACCCAGAAAGACAGAGAGAAAAGACAAACAGACAGATACTATATTTAGAAATGGACAATAGAACCAAGCAAATGTAATCACAACATTTCCAGCCTCAACTTCTTCACTTTTAGTCCTGTTTTCTTAAACTATATAAAACGTTGCTGGTTGTCTGTGTTCTTTTCTTTATTGAATTATTTGCATTTTGCTTATACTGCTTTCAGATGTGTCAGTGTATTTGAAATGAAAACTGGCCTGTTTTAAAAAAAATAAAAACAAATTAAAACATCTCTAAATGTCAAGGTGCTCTTTCTTTTCTCAGTCTCTTTCAGTGTTTATTCTGTCTGTTTTTCATTCTGTCAGATTATCTCTCTTTCATTTTCTCTGCCATTTGACACCAGGGTCATTAACATGTCACGGCTTCTCTGGCTAATATGCAGAAATATTCATAATTAATGCTAAACTTGTTCCTTTTATGCGAAATGATAATTGGAGACAGGGACATGAGTGGCTCTGTAATTAGCAAACATAAGAAATGTGGATTAGAATGAGATGATGTTGAGGTTGGTGAATAGGAACTTGACTTAACACTAAATGCATAGTGAATTTGTCTGGGATGTCTTGATATGAATTATAATGCACATTATATATGCTTATAGTTTATAAAGCTGCAGTCCGTAGCTTTTCCTCTTTGTCACCATCTCTCTGTTCGAAATCTGTAACTGCAGTGATTCGCTGAATTATCATCTTTACGTGGGTTGTAAATCGGCATGAAACAGCCCGGATGAACACAGTGTTTTGAGGCGAGTGGTGCTGTCAGTCACCGCGCTGTGTGGATACTGTCATTCAGAATCACAGATTCACTTTTTGAAAGTTTGACCAACATAAGAATTTTCATAAGAAAATGTCTTCTGAACAAGTAAGTAACATCCATTTTTGTTCTGACCAACTAAGGGGGAAAAAGCATTCGACATGATAAGCTTCGTTAGATAGATTTAATCAACGCGATTTACAGCAACCGTGCAAATTATAGCCTACTTTGTTCTCAAATTGTTCATGTTAACAACATCACATCAGCATTGCGTGAATAATGTTAAATTGTTTTATGGTTACCTGTGTAGTTCAGAATTCATATTCTCCATAATAGCAAAATGAGAAAGGCACAACAAAGGAAACTCCATAACTGTGTGAATTAAGAAAACGTACTGTTGCACGATTGAACTATTGAAATGTCTTACTCTTAACTTACTTGTTCAGCAGAAAAAAGCCGTCTCTTCTTCCGTTTTGAACCCCTTCAAAACACGGAGTTCACACACTTTTCAAAAGCCCCGCCGATGTTTAAATCCTTGTGTTCGCATGAGACGGTTTCTTTCTCTTCCTCTAGCCACCTTAAATCCGAAGTACAAAGTCTTTTGGGTTTTATAACTGCTGCATCTCCAGATGACACTGATGATTGTTGTTTGGATCTTTCTGGATGCCATAAGTTTAATTATGTAAAGTGCTGCGAGAAAAGCCTATACATCTAAACATCTCGTCACGCGCAGTATAGCCGGCTAGCCGAAACTCCTTTATGTGTACGGGTGTGACGTAATGACGCAAAGACATGCTCGAATTTCCCGCGGAAACCCACCAGTACCACTGGAATTAAAATCACTATTACAAGCTAACCGTTTTGAATCTAGCTATGGCAAGCAGATAGTTTTGACCACTGGCAGAATACGTTTTTTTTTTATATAATTATTTTGGATTATTTTTAACTTAAAAAAGCTACGGACTGCAGCTTTAATATACAGTAACTGATGAATTAATACTCATTCAAATGCATACACACATTTATGTGCACATCTGCAATTATAATGACCATCGCTTCATTTCTCCAGGCATGTTAAGTAGAGAGGAAGGAAAAGAGATACAAATAAAATAAATAAAATAATTATATTGTATAGTACGCATTACAGATTTGTAAATCTCAAAAAACATGTTGACAGGCACAAAAAAAGCACTTTGCAATTAATTTCATTGTTATCAAATATGCCATTAATTAAATATTACAGTAGCCCAAACAATCTAATTTACATCATCCTTTCATGACCTTTTATATTACGACAACAACATCAAATATTTTCTCACAGCTGTTTCCAATGACTGTACCAATCCAGTCTAGTTTGTCACATTCTGTGTAACAACATCAGCGAATGTTGCTACAAACAAAATATATGATTTATATTTGTATTTTTGTGAATTCCCAAAGGATGTTTAAATCCGCTAGCGTTTATAGTGTTAGAGAGAGAGAGAGAGAGAGAGAGAGAGAGAGAGAGAGAGAGAGAGAGAGAGAGAGAGAGAGAGAGAGAGAGAGAGAGAGAGAGAGAGAGAGAGAGAGAGAGAGAGAGACTGGACTCTCAGCTGGAGTCTGGTAGAGCGCATGCGCAGTAAGGGATGAAGCTTCTCCGCTTTTTTTTCGGCAGCTGGCGTGAGGTTCTGGAATTCCAACATGGCAGTAGATGTGGTCAGTAATTCTGTGGTGGTCAGTCTCTCCAGCCCTGACTTGGAAGCATTCCAGAACATCACCGACTCGGAGTAACTGCCATCCCCCGCTCTCAGCAGCACGGCTGGACGCTGTCGCCGTTCTCAGGCGCGGAACAGGTAAATCTTTCACTTTGTTTGCGTCCACCAGCTGTCCGTTTGTAGGCTACCGGAGAGAGAGAGAGGCCATGCCATGCACGGACAGCGCGCTCGGACACTCGGACACAGGCCCGAGAAAACAGCGCGCAGTTTTTGTTCGGCGTGGCTCTTAATAGCATTAAATTATGGTAGTTTGAGCACTAGGCAAGAAGTTTTATTATTGGAGTAGAGTTCTATAATACGACAGCATTGATCCGTATGTGTGTTGTGTGTCCAGGCGAGAGTGACAGAGACATTCTTACCCATCAGCACAATTGAATATGATCTTACTTTATAAATCTCACTTTAGCTCTTATATCTTCTGTTGTTTCCATTACAATACACAAGACTAGCATATTTAAATTCCATTTAAATAATATTTGATATACTAGGCTAACTGATTTGCAGTAGGCTAATTAAATAAAGAAATAGAAATAAATCATCTAAACCCTAATTCGCAAAGCTAAATTTAGTTAAAAATAAATAGACAATCTACATTTAAATGGATTTTAAAGCACTTTAAAAAAAAACATTTTTGCATTAAATGTTCATATAAAAAGCCTATTCTAAAGCCTAAATGAAAAAATATAGCGTTAAATTCTGTTTAACATTTTTTTTTTTAGTTAAATCGGGAAGTTAAACAAATAAATAGCCTAGCATTAATTAATGAGCATTTTTATGGTAAATTTATTTTCCTGCTGCATCATATATTCATCTCTCCTCTCTCTTTCTCCACAGTTTGGGGTTCCTGTCCGCCCAAAACACTGTTTGCATGCGGTGTGTCATTCAACTTACTGAAAAACTCTTTCTTTACAATCCTTTCTGTCTCTCTCCGTCACCTTGCTGATGTCAAGCAATATGATCAGCGGTGTATATGGTAGGTCATATCTGTTTTATTTGAAAATGCATGCAAATCTCTGGCTAGATGATGTAAAATTCTTTATGAACCCGTTTGCTTCCTCCTTTAGGCTATTGTTAGTCAGTGCCAATCATAGGCATGCATTAGGATTTTGATTATTTGCTTGTCTCCTTCATTAGATAGGATAGCGGAGAACTGACAGGAAAGTAGCCTATAGCCTACAGGTCAGGGAGAGAGAGGAGATCGGGACATGACACAGGCCGGACTCGAGTCGCAGACCCTACAAGAACAGCTCTCTTAAATAGCTATAAAACAAAACTACTTATTCAGTTTGAGAACATCCCGTAAATTCCCTGTTCTCTTGACTTTTTTATACATATAGCCTATATTTTCCTACTTAAACGTTTTTCCAATATGTTCCTCCATTCGGATATCATTCATACCATTCGTGCTAGACGCAGATTGATTTTCAGTGCTGTGATAGCATTTTCCTGGCCCGCGTCAGGGGAAGGAGAGTTGAGATTGGAGGTTACAGACCGCAATCATGTAGCGCTGTATCTCCAGTCGGGCGCGCGGGCAGAGCGACTGCTGCACGAGCGCGTAATAAATGCTCGCGCTGTGATGTGATTCTGGCGGGAAATCAGCCGTGAGCGCACAGTGGCGCGGTTAGTTAGATGTGCATAATTTGGACTCAGATGTATTGCGAAATGACAACACTTCATTTTCCAATATTCCAGTGTTCCCCTTGTCTCTCTTTGTCTGTCTCTCAGTCAGGTAGAGCAGATTGCTGTCTGTATGAGTGGTTGTTTATCGGTCTGAATGTGGAGTCAGTGAGCCAGCAGTCACACACTACACACAATCAATCACAAGTTGGATGGGCAGTGAATTAGAAATGGACAGTTAAACTACCATGTGCACATTTCTTGTTATATTTTCACATGAGCCAACTGTAACATCAATCTGTTTTGTGATATTGTCTTGTTTTTATTGTCCGGCTTGTTTGTATAGGTTTAGCTGTTCTTTTTTGGCCTACAAATATAGTTAAGCATGTCGAAAACAGAATTGTGAGGACATTTGAAGTGGTTCTCACTATTAAATGCTCATAAATCGACCAAATTGTGTATTATTTGAATATAATTACATCAACAGGTTTGTGTGAGATTTACGGGTAGTGTACCGGACTGTAACCACCATAGACATTTAGGCGGGAATGTAACCCCAATAATCAGATATGACTAAATTGTTCAAATTGTGTGCACAAATTGTGGTTCTTCTACTATTTTTCTTTCTTTTTCTTTATTCCCTTAAATCTCTTTGAATCCTTTAATGTCTTAATGTTCAAGACAGCTATGGCCTTGGTAGCGTAATTATCCTTATGAAAACTGTTCTGTCTCACACACACACACTTTTCATGGTACCGTTTGAATTCTATCTCTTAAAAAAATGAATAGGCTTGTTGTGTTATAGGTGCACAGTGAGGAATTGAGTGTTATAGTTTACATGAGAGTGTCAACTTGAAGTCCATTGCTGATACTTGCTGCTTTTGAATTTCCCTATACACTTCCTGATGATGTCATTTGGGAACTGGCTTTTGTTAGTTAAACGGATATTGCAAAAGACTAACAGGATGGAATACAATATTGAGGACATTGAAAAACCTATAAACCAATACTCGAGAAAATATGTTTTGTTTAAAACTTTTTAATTAGATAAACAAAAAACATGAAGAAACATCTCAAACTTTTCTTATAAATTGCCATAACTAGTAAAATCATTTAAAATCTCCTCATCTTTGCTTATTGTGATAAAAGAAAACAAATTCATTTGTTTAAGACATTACATTATGGCATTACAAAAATAGGTTTTAGAGGTCAAAATATTGTCTATTTTATTTCCATATCATTGAACAAAACATTGAGCTGTTTTGTCTAGTGCTACAAGTTAAAAACTGTGCCACTTTTGAAAACGTTTAAAAAAAGCTTCTTGACATTCTTGCATTGTGTATCACACAGTTGTGCTTCACATGAAACTCCTCTTCCATGAACTAACATGTCCTGTGTGATGAGCTCGTTCAGTGCTGTCTGCTCACAGTAAGTTTTGTTTGGCGGGGCATTTTGCCTGATGGAACTGAGCTGACTGCGCACTTGCAAAAACATGAAGGAGGTACTTTTAATTTTTTAATTGCTCCGTTTGTAGGTAAATTCCTTATTATTTACGAACCATTCAGGGGGCTTGCTTAAATGTGGTCATTTTTACAAGAAATATTGGACCCTTAATTGTGATTGCTCATACATTGGCTATAGGAATAAAACAGCAACAAATAATATAGTCATGAATATGAAATGAACATACATAGCCTACATTAATAACCTCCCTTTCTCATCTTCAACTCCTGTTTCTGTCCCTCCTTCTTTTTGACAGCCAGATTGTGTTAAAATTTTAGTGTTGACAGTGTTTGTGATTAAATTATTCCTCTACTCTTAACGTCATGTAACTTCACACTTTTCCTTATTCCCCCCTCCCTCCCTCCAATTTCATTCCTCCCTTCACACATCTAAAGATATATAGCGACAAGAAAGTGTCTTTGAGTGACTAATGTAGACTTTCTCACACAGTTTGTCTCCCATACTTTCTCTTTTCTTTCGCTTGTCCCTATTACACGAAAACTAGTGCCTCCCTCGAGTTTCTCTGTGTGTGTGTGTGTGTGTGCGTGCGTGTATGCGCATATGAGGGATGATTGAGCTGTTTAATATGCTAAAGCCCTATTAAAGGCCGATGTCAGCAGCAGACGGTGTACGGCCGCCCAGTCTGCCCCGGCCCAGTGCTCTGTATTGTGTCTCTAAATGAACACGGTACTGTGTTAATTAGCAGAGGAAAATGGCGTGTGGAATTGAATTGGTCATTGACATGCGAGGCGTTCGTCTCTCGTTTAGAGAGATATGAAAGTGATTTAAGCCCTAGCTATGTCTTTTATGGAGGTTTTAAATAATTTATCTGCAGAAAAGAGAAGGGGGAGGAAGTGAAAGAAAAGAGTTGCCTCATCTGTCTTAGATTGAATTTATTATGTGTTTTTTTTTGCTAGGAATGTCTCTCTGAAATGTGTGATTCAGTCTGATTCATTTAAATTGAAGTTGAAGATTCAGATTCCTATGCCACTATACTGCCACTAAATGGTATGGTAGAATAATGATTGTTTTGAAACAAGTTTCCCGAACACTCCTCAAAAAAAGTAATCAGGGCCTAAATTACCCTGATACCCTGGTTTTGCCACACCTGGCAGTGGGCGGTGACTTAAATAATTAAATAAGACATGAAATAAATACAATACAATATAATACAAATGAAATAAACAGTGCTCTTCAGGCAGGTCTAATCGTTTTCAGGTAAATTTAATAAAGTAGGCTAATCAAATAAATAGCACTGCATAGACTTCATATCCTTTTTTAAAATTCAAGAGCAGTAAGTGATTTTTTCTTTGTCCTTTGTTGTTTGGTTAAAAACCCAGACAGCAGCAGGATTGTTAGGATGCTGTCACTTTACAGTTTTTTTATTCGCTTTGGTACTGTTTTCACAAGTAAGGTGTACATTTTCAAAACTCTTAGTACAAAAATCCAAACTGATCACACTTGTAACACAGCTATCATTCTTTCAAAACCTGATCTCATGCTTTTTATTCAGTTGCACATATTTTCAGTCCACATAATCATTGTTTCAAACACAAGACTATTGTAATATGTAATGAGAAGATTTGGTTCAATCATCGAAACACAACAGCATGATCTTCTTTCAGTTTAGTACGTTTAACAATCAGTTCCTTTAACAGCAAACACTGCAAGAGACATGTTTCAAATCACCCTTGTTGCTGAATTAATAACAGTAATACAGGCTACAGATGCCACATTTATAAACTTACATTACCTAACTTATGAAATTGAATCCATAATGTTTGTAATAGTATCTATCTAGTGTGTTATCAAAAGCTGTGATGAAGTTATGAAACTATACCATGAGGTTTTGTGCTAGAACAGTGTTTCATGTTTTATGGGGACTTTCCATAGACATAATGATTTTTATTCTGTACAAACTGTAAAGGCAAGGCAAGGCAAGGCAAGTTTATTTATAAAGCACATTTCATACACAATTCAAAGTGCTTTACATAGAAGACATTTAAAAAAAAATCAAAAGAAATAGCAATAATTAAAACAGGTTAGAATAAAGAAATTAAAATAATCAAAACAAATAGGCCTATTCTATCCCCTATACCCCTTAATATACTCATCACAGAAAACTTTCTGTATTTTGACATTTTCAAGAAACATCACTTATGATTTATAAGCTGTTTTCCTCATGGAAAAAACATAAGGAAATGACATATACAAAATATATAATCTACAGTATATGTCCCCACAAGGACAAGGATTTCCGATATTGCCATCTTTGTAGAGACATTTTGTCCCCATAATGTGGAGTTTACCAGGACACACAGACCACACACACACACACACACTTTGAACATAGTGGTTATAAATTATAACTTATAATCTAAGAAAAATATATTTTTACACTTATAATGTAAAAAGAATTCATTACATTTGGTTATCTGTATCAGATATTGAAAACGAAAGTAGAAACTAATTCTATAGAATCTGTATGATCTATAGAAATCTATAGATGTACCAAATGATTCATTGATTAACCATTAAGATCAGTTGGATTAAATAATAGACAAATGCATTACACTGAACAAGAAGAGCTCAAAAGCAAATCAAAAGTTTGATAGTAATGGCATTATGAAAGGCAGCTATTGTGAATGAAACATTTATATAGATGATATAGATTTGGTGTAGTGAAAAGGATACTTTGTGATTTTGAGCATTGTATTAACAAATGAAAACACAATGAAATGCTTGAAAAAAAGTGCAGGAGCTTTTTGACATAATTTTGAGTGAATTTGTCCATTGAAGCGCAGGAAGGCATGAAAGAGAGCTCAACTTCTGATGTTATTCACACACAGCGCA